ATCTTGAAACTCAAAGCTCAAAACTTAAAATTGTATGCACTCTTTATACATCACATGACAATAGGTTTGAAATCATACTTCTTTTGATTTATGTACTCAACAATACGGCAATGATGAGTAAAAAATTAAATCAACACTATTCCAAACAACAAGTTGTAGCGATCTTTGGACATTTAGATCGTAATTTATTCATCAACTTCTGCTGTTGACACATATCTCTAATGATGGTGGTTAATGTCAAATTAAAATACTTTGTAAGATATACAGAAATAAAGGCTTGAATCATATGATCAAGTTGGTGTGCACCATTGCAAAATCAAATCAAGTAGCAAATTTCTTGTTCAACTCGGTTAGAAACATGAGTCATTATTCCATGTATTTGTCATGTCATAATTCTTGGCATTATGAAAGCATGTTGATAAGAGTGTATAACCCAAGAAATACAAATTGCATTCATAGACTTCTCAAATGTCTCGAACAAATTGTTTCCCATGTGCCGTCCATAAAAAGAATGACAACTTAAATGAAAGAAATACAACGTAGTGCCAATAACAAATTTTACTCAAACGTCAAAATACGAGTTGCTTTTAACAGTTGATGAATTGAATGCACGAGAAAAGATCCAACAACTTGCGAATATTTTGTTGAATTTTTGAAGTCAAACGACAACAAACGATGATATTTTTGCCTCATTGCATCTACAAAGCTAATCGAGAATCAATTCTTTGCCTACACACTCCTCTCGACTTGCTTTTACATGAACAACGAGCCAATACCAATCATCCCAATAACAAGCTTGAAAAGCTTGATGTTCTTGATATGAATTAAATAACATATAATCACATAATCAAATTTGATCAAATCAAATAATCTCAACGCCCGATCAATAGAAATCTCTTTAGCTTCGGGATTAAAAAAAAAAACGTGCATAAAATTGTGTTGACAAAGTTTTTTATTGATATCAAAATACAACTAATTAACTAATCCGACAAAATGAACATTGATACTAATCATGAAAGTAGTAGTATTAAAAAAAAATTTGCTTGGCGTTTATTGACAGAACTCAGTTCTCACTCCACTTTGTCAAATGTTGGCTTTCGAGATGTTGTAAGTATATTTTTGGTCGATATGAAATCTTAAGATACTTTATGGTTCTAACCGGCTTGCCCTTCACTATGAAAATTTTTTTCACGGCCCCATATTTGGCAATAGCAACACAATACTAATGCAATCACAATAGACAATGGCTTTTGCCCTAAGATCTTCAGGTACATACTGAAGTTCGTGAAGGGAATTAATTGACATTTTACGCTTCTTCGAAGAGATTTCATCGACAAAAACTCTTCAACATCAAAAAATAATGAACATGAACAACTCTTCAACAATGGTCAAAAGTAAACGCAAAATCAAATTTTCAATCTTATTTATGATGGAAAAGAGAAAATAACAACAATTTTACCACAATGGTCGTTCTTTTTTCCTGTTGAAAAGTTTTTTGTTATTCGCTCAACAGTAGCATACAATAGTAACCACGGACTCATACTTCAATTTCATTTATACCATCATGCCAATATTATTTATGACATATCTAGCACCAGTGCCACTCAATGCCATATTTGAAGAGGTATGATGATTCATCATCTACATTTTTACATTGTGCTAGTAATTTAGATGTGAAATGAATTTCATATTCATTGCCAATGTCATAAAATCATTGGGTCTGTTCTTTAAAAGTAAAAACATGTTTTGAGTCCATCGTATATCCTTGATCAAATAGTGCTTTTATTGTAAATAAAAACCATTAAATATAAGCAAAATCATTGTGCTTAAATTTCATCACTTATTCATTAATCAATTTTCATTCATGATATGATGATGATTAAAATGTGAAAAAATCATGATGAAAATACAACAGTCACTACTTGTCAATATTGGATAAAATCGTTACTACATGTACATGATTAAATTAATTCACTCCAGAAACTAAATTTAAGCTAAATATGATTCTAAAATAAATAATATGTTCATTATATTGTATATAAAGTTTTAACAAAACTTGATGCAATTCTTATTAATAACTAGGTTTAAGCTAATCATAATTGAATCAAGAATTGCAAACAAAACATTATATCAAATTTTGATGTAAGCATGACTAACAAAATTTATTTTTAGTCTATTTTAGTTTCATAAAATATATGCAATCAAATGACATCCAACAATATTTTAAATATGAATTGCAATATTCTAAATATAATTATATTACTATCTTGAATATCATTATGAAGTTTGCGACTTCATTTTTACAACATAGTCTTTGGTTCAACATATATACATGCATTTTACATACACAATCACATAAATTTCCTTTGTTAAGTCAATAAAATAATATTTCAATTGTATATTTTAAATTTTGTATAAGATATGGTTATTGAAAAGTGATGATAAATATAAATTCTATCATAATTGTAGGTTTTAGATTTTTTAATTCAATATCAAATATTTATACAAAATTATTTTAGAAAAGCATAATTTTTTTCAAAAATTATTCTATTTTCAATTTTCATGTTTATATTTTACAATATATAATATTATATGTATTCAAGTTTTATGTTTAAATTTAAATTCAGGTTTATGATGATATATTTAAATATTCTTTCACTTTAAATATTTTGATTTAACAAATAACATTTGTTAAAAAAACCATTTGTAATTTTGAAAAATTGCAGAAGTATATTCCAAAAAACATTATTATTTTCAATTTCATATCAAATTGTATTTCAAAGTGAATTGAATAATTGAAAATGATATTTGATAAATTGACTCCTACTGCATCATGCATAGTATTTTATCAATCAAAAATAATTATTTTTATACTTTAAGTTTTTTGAACGATGATGTTAATTTATTTATATATTATAAGTATTTATTGAGATGAAATCAAATTAATATTTATAATTTAATAATTCTGATTTTAAAATTATAATTATAAACAATTCCAAAATCAAAATGTAATTATTTAATTAGTAGTAAAAGTATTTTTTCCAAATTTTGAAAAATAAAATTATGGGTATACTGTATATAGAAAGTTTTTTATTCAAATTTTTGATTATTTCTCATATTCAATATAGATTATTATTTAGAAATCATGGGTAATTTATAATTTCGATTTTATTAAAATTAATATCCAAAAAAATTAAATTTTTTTGGATATTATTCTATGTAGGTTACAACATCAATAATATTCTTAATAGATACAAACTAAGTACAGGTATTTTAATGTATCACGATGATAAATTTTTATTATATGCAATATATACTATTTTAGGAACCCAAGTCAAGTGAAAATCTAATCATTTAAATGTATCCCCTTCTAATAAGATTTCAAATATGAATGTTTTGATTGGTCTTGTTAATTTGATTGAGATTTATGTTCAAGTACTTAATTATGCGTTCTAAAAAATAAATTTTAGAGTGATATAGATAGTGAAGTTCATTTTCAAAGAGTGAACATAGGATAAAATTGATATCATTTTAAAATGTACGGTATATGATACTATAGTAAATACAAGTCATGTTCATATTTGTATGTATCATTCTATATGAAGTGAAACTAACGGATTACATTTGCTTAAATTTTTCAAAAATTAATGTAAAATCGAAAAAAATTACTCGTTAGATTGTCATAAGATCTAAATGATTATTGATTTTCTTTCTTATTAATTTTTCGTTGTATGAAATTTTTTTTCAAAGAATATATCTAAGTGATGCAACAAAAATTTAACTTATATGAATAATTTGGATCAATCTTTGATAATAAGTTTTATGCACACATTTAAAATTAAAATCAAAATTATGTATCTATAAATTGTACATTGGATACTAATTATCAGTTTATAAATATATTATATTATATAAAATTTAAGTATAATACATATTTCAAAATATTCATATAAACTTGCTAATTTTGTGATCGAATTTTATGAAATATGAGCTATTTTATGAGTTTGGAATTAAATTTTTCATTCAGTTCCTACTTTCAAGTTGAAGAAATAAAATATTGTTAAAAGTGAGAAAATTAAAAAATGAAGAACTGGTTAGATTCTGTGCTAAATTGATTTTATTATTTCATGTAACATAAATTGATGCAATTGATTCTGATAAACTTTAATATCAAAAAACATCATACTTACCAGAGCATTTTCAAATCGTTTAGATAATCAGGAACCCGAAAAAAAAACTCATTGTTTGTAAAAATCAATACTTTGGTCTAGAAACCAAAGTATTAGAAAGTATTGAGAATGACACAAAAATGTGATATCCGATAAAAATGAACTTTCACCTGCCAAAATGCGACAAGGCTCATACAAGAGTACACAGAAGTGTGTCACACAAAGAACTGCAGCACATCGTACACCAATCCAGCCCATGTAGTAAGAGCGCTCAACGTTCAAAGGTGAACATCGAGGATAACATCAGCTGTAAGTTAAAGAACGAAACACCACCCAAACTAGCATACGTACCAAGAGTGTACGAACATTTAGTTCCTGAACAAAGTCACTGAATGGAATTAAATCGATTCGAAAGTCTCCAGTAAGTAAAATTATGGTTTCTAAACAAAATTAGGCAAGAGGAGAGGGAGAGAGAGACGATGATTTGTGGTTCCGGTCAAAGAGCGTGGAAAAGCGCATGCAGTCTCTCGAGGCCTTTCTCAGAGAACAGAAGGAAATTAGCAGCACCAGCGTGGTGCTGGACTTAGCGGCATAACGGTGAGTGGCATTTGAAGTTTCGCCAGACGGCCGCGGGAGCAATAGCAGAGCAGCACGTGCCGGTGGCGGTTGATTTGGAGAAAGTAGTTAAGTGGCGAAACTCTAAGTTAAGCGGGGAAGTGGGAAGAGGAGCAACCCTAAGCTAAGGAAGGGGAGGGGAGATGGGAGCCCCAGAGGAAGAGGAAGGGGGCAGGGAAGAGAAGGAAGGGAAGGAAGGGAAGGGAAGGAAAAGAGGAGAGACACGAGAGAGTGCTTTCCTTCAAGCACAAGAGAGAAACGGGGGAGCTATGGCCGCTAGCTCTCCTGTTTCTCGCTCATTGTCGCCAATTACGAGCGAATCCGCTACCGCGCTCGAACTCGAGGCGCTCGTCATGCTCGGATCTAGCGTGTAGATGCGTGGTGCAATGGTGTTGAGGCCGATCGACGAGACTGAGATACGGCGGACGGTCTTGGTCTTGTTGTTGTGGTCGGAGAGTGAGGGATTTCGTGACTCCACGCGCGAGAGACTGACTGACGAAGCCGACGTACCTCCGATGGCTTGAAGCAGAGGTTCATGATGTTGATGCCGATGGCGTTGGTGGTGACGCGGAGTGCGTAGAGTGAGATTGGATCGGAGCGGAGCGGTCGGGAGGAACAGGGGGCAGGTTTCGCAATTGAGGTTTTTTGTGCTTTCGTCTGGAATTTGGTGTAGGAGTTAGATGTTTTTTCTTCCCTTGCAACAAAGAAGCTTATGGCGACGCGCAATCAGACCGCGTTGTTTAAAAAGTATCGGGATGCTTTGCGAAATGTGCGCCCCGGACCCTCGGTGGCTGGACGGGGAAGCAGTATAGAGCTAACTGAGGTGTTCCCCGGTGCGCCCCAAAGAGGCAGAGGTTACAGCACTCTCAGCACAGAAGACGATTCCGACCCTACAAGGTTTCCAAGATTTCCCTCTCTCCTCATGAGTCATGATCGCATCATGTGCAACTACCCCTAGTATGGCACCAGAGATTTATGTAATTTCCTTTCTCGGCAGATCTATGTACTTAGAGAGGTTTTCTTCTAGCCACTTCGAGCCCGAGTTGATGGATCTGCGTAATAAAGGAATTATGGATATGTCACTGACGTTCCCTTTCTCTCTCTCACTCATCGATGTACTCAAAATTGTGCGCTCCAACCATGAATGTCGGATGAGAACATCATCTTGTTGGGAATTGGGAACTGCAACCAGGCCTTGTGCTGCTTTCTGGACTGTAAATGCCACTTGGCAGGTAAATTGGGTGTGCCACCTTGTTATCGAGGCATCTAGCATATAGATCCGATCCTAATACCCTCCTCGAGAATGTGGTAGGATAAAGGGCAGGTCTGCTTTTGAGGTCCTTCGGCCATTATCACTGATTTTTGCCTGGTTTATGTTGTAGGGCAGGGTCGATATCTGTGAGCCTGCCTCCAGCATGGGTCGACATATCAGACGAAGTGTCCACGGAGATGAACAAAGTGAAAAGCAAAATGGCAGAGCTGGCGAAGAGCCACGGTCGAGCCTTGATGGTTTCTTTTGATGACAACACAGGAGAGCAGCAAACAATTGAGTTGTTAACTGCAGAAATCACTCGATCTTTGAAGAAATGTGAGCAAAAATTGCAGCGTCTTTCTGGGGGACAAGGCAACAGCGGTGATGAAAATCTTCGCAAGAACGTGCAGGTGCTTATAGTAGAAAGCTAATTTTTTCTTTTAGACGTGCTGCCGGGGTGATTGTTTCCCGTGGTGGAAACGTAGAGGTCATGTCGTTTTCTTGAAGAAGGCGTCTGCTTGAAGTTTCCCGCTAGTCAAGCTGTTGGTTTTGAAAGTATATTAGACTTCAATCAGCTATTGTGATTGTTGTACTCTTATTGTGCTCCGTAATTGAAAATTTATGGATCACGTCCAAGCTATCAACTTAATGTACCAATGTCTGAATTCGTGATTGCCAGAGATCCTTGGCCACAGATCTTCAATCGCTGTCCATGGATTTTCGGAAGCTGCAAAAGGGCTACTTGGGCAAATTAAGGCTTCAAGAGGCGGTAATTAGATTTTCACCCTTCTTCTGAGTCTGTTACCTTCCGTGTGTATACAACAAGTTTCACGATGTGTCGTCGAAACTGCTGCCGAAATACTGTCGTATATGTGGAGTTATATAATATTCACTGTTACTGCATGCTGATGATTGCTGCGTTTTAAACGCAATGTCCCAGAAAACTCAAAAGCCTTTATTTACTCTGTGGAACCTTTTGCAAGGTTCCTGAATTAGTGCTTGCATCATCACCCTAGTCCATATTGCACGTAGTCTCAGATGAGTTTATCCCGCTCTTTTCAAATCTCCTCTTCTTAGAAGTGTTGGTTTGGACGGTAATCAAAGTTATTATTGAACAGACTTTTTTGGGTTGCTTTAACATCGTGTTGGTGAACGCCGTTTTGCATCGAGATGACGTTTAGTCTCTTGTCCCTTCTCGCACGAAGATGTTGTAGCTGACGACTCTTTCTTGGGAGAAATATCTGAATCTTATCTGAATATTGCAGTGCATACCCATATTGCATGTTTATACATACTTCCTTTCTGTACAGATACACTCAATATGACAGGCTGATTTTCATACTTCTCATTGTTGCCCCTGACTTTGACGTTCTACTTTTCGTTTCATGATCTCAGTGCAAATCATTATTCATACTCCGGGGATTTCCTTCATTACGGCCTAGAATAGTCTATCATTGACGCTAAGACTCTCACGTTTTCAAACTCGGTCGATGTATGTATGTATATATATTTATACATTATATGTATATATATATATTTATTAACATTTATAATTGTAAAATCTAAATTATAGTCTGGTCACAAACTGTAATACTCTTTTCTAGAGATACAAGACGACATGTTTTTTTCGGTCTTTTAACCTGTACTTTGCCAATGGCTTGACTACATATCAGGGCCAATCCGGAGCTGATATCAGCATGGGTTTCAGTCAGCAAAGGTCAAGAGAAGACGATGACGAATTTAGTGATGTGGTAAGCAAGTGCTTGCAACTTTCTAGAGCAAGCAGGTTGCAACGTTGTGTTCTTACGTACGCTATTCATTGTGTATGCCATTCGATGAACCCCGTCTGTTCCAGTATGACTGTCAGATGACGTTGCCTGGATTCGTTGTGGCCCTGAAAGACCAATGGAGTTCACCTTCTGACATATTAGTCATGCAGGGCTTCAGCACTACACAATTAAGCCAGCTGAAACAAAATGAAGCCATGTCAGCCGAACGAGAACGAGAGATAACGCAGGTTGGCATGGTTTATTATAAGTTATCGCGACTTTTTCTTGCATGATTGATTCAGTGGTGTGATCCTTATCACAGTATCGTGGGGAATTGATTATCATATGAACCTACTCACAGTAGGCATATCATTTATATGTTTCCTGGTCTTGTTACAGATCGTGGAATCAGTAAATGACTTGGCACAAATCATGAAGGACCTTTCAGTTCTTGTCATTGATCAGGTAAGTGAATGCAAACATTTGAGACTTGTCTTTTACCGCAGTTCATCCCACGCCACATAAGAGGACATAGCTTGCAACGAAAGGAGTCAAGAGGAGTAGAATTTTACAGTGTGAGCTCTTTATACTGAACGCGTGAGGAGTGGGCTCTCTTACGCACGACATAATTGCAATGTAATGAACCCAGCCATCTCAAGAATTATACCAAAAATATGAGATTGGAAATTGTGCTTGTAATCGAAATAAACCGTTATATTGATTCCGGCATTGTTTGTCTCCAGGGTACAATCGTTGATCGAATTGATTACAACATCACAAATGTTTCGGCCTCTGTGGAGCAGGGTGTGCGGGAGCTTGTCAAGGTTTGTGGCAAGAATTTTTTTTGGGTTACTTTCTAGAATATACAAGAACCCAACTATTCGTTTTTATACAAGTTTTAGGGCTGAACTAAGTTAGTATACTAATATTTTGATGTTCAATCTTTTGACACATATGGACTTCGCTGATAGCGTTGTATCTACTTGATATGCAGGCGGAGGAGACACAAAAGAAAGGGGGCATGGTTTTATGTGTCATGGTACTGATTGCTCTTTGCGCATTCATGCTTTTTGTGTATATCATGAAGAAAATTCTATTCTGATCGGTGAACGACTGAAGCTGCATGTGCGAGATTGGCATGGGAACGTCCTGGTAATTGACCTTCTCTCGTGAAGTAATACTATCACATCCAACTCCAGAAAGGGGCAGTTTCGGGTCTGGCTGTGCGAAGATGGTTTCTCCACCAGCCGGATAAAGTTGATCTGCCGACGAGTGTCTACTGTTCCATAAGAATTAGTTCGCGTATCGAACTTAAGCAGACACGTGGGAGCAATACTCATGGTGGATCGTCTTTTGGAGAGATCACCGTTCGGAGTCATCTGATTGTGTCAAGCTAGCACCAGGCCAGTGTGCCGAAGCTTCTGACCTTTTGCAGATAATATCAGGAGAACTACCCTTCAGGCTCAAAGCTCCAGTCCTGCAAATTTTTGGGAGGCAGTTGTGGTGCTGTTTGTGCCATGTCCCGCAAGCAGTGTCTTGGTTTGATGTATATATCTGACCTGTTGCCACTGCTTCTGGTGAACATGGCAGAAGAAAGTTCGACTTGAAGGTGCATACTGAAAAATCTCAAAAGATTAGTGCCTGAAGCAAATATTAACCGAGAAGTGGCGTGACCTGCATAGGCTGAGCAAATTGCATTGCATCATGTCAAATCAACGTTTGACAAGTCACTCGTGTTTGTATTGTCGTCAACGTCCTGTGATAAGAACTTTTTTGGTAAATCCGATTAGAATCTTTGACTGGAGGATAGCAACTGCCTGTTTTTTTAACAAGGTTCCAGCCTTCCAACTGTACATTATTCCGTTCCGGCACATCGATTCATCTTGGCACAGGATTCACCAGTCTACAGAGTTTCCGCCTTCGTGGTTAGCTACTTACCGGTCCCAAGACAAAGACTCTTTGACACAAAATATAATGTCTAAGTGATTCATTTACTTTCTCTGTTTTTCACATCTACACTTTTGATAGTTCAGGAAGTCTTATTGCTTCAAGTCAGGATACCCGCAGGTCTAACATTTTTACGGTCACCCATGTGCCGGGTGTGCCCTGAGAAGTGCTATGTTGCAGTTCACTCATCTCTGATATGTAGACCTTTTCCTGGGCAGAATAATTGCTCATGTATTTTCCAGACAGCACTGAGGTTTGTCGAGGAATTTTTTCATTGTAGAGGGTGGGATATCCACACTGCTTAGTTGTAACATTTTCACTTCCGCAGTACAGAAAGAACACAGAAAGTATTGTCTTCGGTAGGATGCCGCAGTTAAATGTGGTTTTTGGTAACACTCAATTGAGTTTGTGCAGATTTGTGCGATTCTTAGCTGATGTAATCTGACGAGAGTATAGTTTTAAATTCGTGCCACTATATCAGGAGAGACAGGCGTTCAATAATACATTCTTTTAACTTCATGTTATGCAAGCGGTTACCTTCTTGTTATATATGGAACTTTGGAAGGTGGGCCTGAATCACTTTGTCGACTTATTTAATAGATAAATATATGACTAGTGCATTCCTGAAAGTCGTCCAGATTGTAGTGGATAGCGTAGTCTGCTCACGTCAGACGTGACTCGATATTCTTGACTGGCTCCACTGAAGAGTACTTTCTTTCCTTGTTATCTTCCATATATTTCCTTTTTTGATGTGCATGAGTTCACTGAAAGTGGGTAACCATGATAGAACGAGCCGAGCATTTTTTGCATACAACAAGTAGGAGAATCCAGGAATCGTTTGGAATTTTCTTTTGTACAAGGGCGCGGGCCCAGGTGAACAATTGCACCAATGTCCATGTGAAATATGTAATTTCATTTTTCTGTGCATCTATATAGTAGTCTGAATCTCCGATTGAAGAGGAAGGCCGAATGACCTTTCTCGCTTACGTCTTTAATGAGGTCACCTCGATGTAGAAAATGATCTAGAAAATGTAGTTAGTTAGTCTTTCGTTGGAAACCCTACAGTTAGTCAGATCAAACTTTGATGTGGAAAGCTGTGTTTGGTGGCGTTTGCATCGATGGATGATAGTTTAAGATACATGGAACATGCGTAGCGCAGTCGACTGAGCCAGGACCAGTGATGGAGAGTTCTCAAGTCAAGTACTATTGGCCCGAGGGCAGGCTTGAGTCTCATATTTCTGCCCGGAGGAAGTGACGCCCACCACACAGGAACTCGCACTAGAAGTATTGCGTCCTCGCTGCTTCGAAGTGCCTACAGAGAAAATCACTCGACTGACAGTTGTGGATTTCTGAGAGCGGCGTGACGCTAGGGCTTTTAATCGCCGAAGCCGTGGACCGACACAAACTCACCGGGGCCATGGATCCGCAAGTACCGAGTCGGCCATTCGTAATCATCCATCCCAAACGAGGAACTCGGCGAGCTGGTTCCTCACCTCCAGACCAGAAGCATCATCCAAGGTCTCTGGGGACGCGAAATGTTCCACGTGCTGCATCAAGTGCGTGTGCCCATTTCCAACATCCTCGTCCGGCCGCTGCTGAGACCGTAACAGCTCGAGCACCATGCTCTTCACGTCGAGGTCTTTTCTCCGGATCATGATGTTGTACAAAATACAGCACGCATGGACGATGGTGGGAGCCAGCTCGAGTCGCCCTCGGATGCCATTCCCCAAAACCCGAAACACGCCCTTCAGCACGGACAAGGCGTGCGTGGCATGCTGTCGCCCTCGCTCGTGGTGAGCGTTAAACTGTTCCTGCGCGTAGGAGAGGCGAGCCGGGGACGAGGGAGGGGCGACGGCGTCGGAGTAGAAGAAGCAGCCGCATCGATCGAACGGAGGCAGCAACCACGGACATAACGGGAACTCGGCACTGGCGAGGAAATACGGCCGGAGCTGGAATCCGCCGTTGATGGGCAGCACGGGGCCGGCCGTGACGATGTTCCCGGCCGACGCGCGCTCCAGGAGGCCCGAGTTGTGCAGCACCTTGGCGTGCGACGCGCTGCCGGGGAAGCCGCAGAAGACGTCGAGGAAGGCGAAGGACGTGTCGCAGACGGCCTGCAGGACGATGGAGAAGTGGCCGGTCCGGTTGCAGTAGTGCTTGACGTCGGGCCCGCTGGGGTTGATGATCTCGACGTGGCAGCTGTCCAGCGCGCCGTGGCAGTTCGGCAGCCCGCAGAGCTGCTGGAAGCCCTGCGACACGCGCGCCAGGCCCGCGGCGGTCCGTGGGAAGCTGACGTGGTGGCCGAACACCTTGACGATGGCCGGCACGCAGTCGCCGATGATCTCATGCACGGACGACTCCCCGATGCCGAACTTGTCCGCGACCTCGTAGTAGTCCGCTCCCTTGACCAGGCGGTAGATCGTCGCGCCCACGCGGACCGTGACGGGGATGCTGGGCCGCCACTTGGTGTCCTGCTTGCGGACGTGGACCTCCAGGCTGTTGGCCACCCAGAGGAAGGTTCTGCGCCTCATGTGCAGCGCCTCGAGCCAGCGGTCGTCGTCGTGCGAGTTCATCAGGAACGTGTTGAACCAGACGCCGCTGCGCGGCTTTACCCACCAGCCGCCGCCGCCGCCCCCGCTGCTGGCCGAGAGCACCCAGGCCGCGCGGTTCAGCGCGCCGAACCACGAGTGCAGCCCCTCCTGGTACGCCGCGCGCTCCACGCTCTCGTCGTCGTCAAGCGGCTGCCAGATCTCCGGCACGGCCACAAGCACGGTCTGGATGGCGACCACGGCCCCCGCCGCCGCGAACACCGCCAGTTTGCGCTTCCGCACGCTCCTCGCGTCCGCGTCCGTTGCCGCCTCTCCCCGCGCTCCGGCCTCGGCGCAAGAACCTCCTCGGCCCCGCAGCTCCTTCGCCATCTCTCGTCCTCCTCCGTCGTTCTCTTGATTCTGCGCCGAAACTCTTCCCTCCAGAACCGACATCAAAGAAGCATCGAGCTCGTCCATGAATGTGGTCTGCGATCTCTGAGCGCGATTGTCACCGAATCCGGATTCTGCGCGTTCTTGCTACCTTTTTGTGTCGAACCTTGGATGCTCGACGATTTGCAGGTCGAGGGTTGGGTTGGGGACCCAGCTACGTATCACCCTGATACTGCCAAGAATTCTCGTTGAAGTCCGAAGCTGCGATTCCGGAACGCAGGAAATAGCGCGGTGCATGTGCGAGTTATGGTTTTTTTATCTTGCTGAATGCGCCTTGTAGTCCGAAGTATTGTAGGTGAACTTTTGACCATGAAACTGTGACCAGATGTCCAAGAGTAGTGCAAGAGAGAAATGCATCTTCTTACACTTTGATCAAGTTCAGCACGACAGAACTGTCGGACCTCATCTGAACCCAAGTTGATGATGTCAGGAGCTTCCAAATCTGATACCCGTCGATTGAAAAAAGATTCAAGATTCGCAATTGTGGAAGTCATGGATCACAAGACAGAAAGCTAGCAAGAATACAGAACACAACGACGAAAGAACTCCGCGTGCATGTGAAAGAGCGACTGGCAACTGGACGACTGTTTTTTCCAATACTCACAGAAAATCTTGTGCTTGATTACTCCGCAGCTGTCATTTGCATTTGCATCCAGGTTCTGGCAAGTTCAGCATTCTGACGGTCGTCCTCGTAGATTTTCTCCACCCACCTTCCCACTCCTTCCCCAAACATGCAGGCCTACGACAAAGCGCGATCCTTCTCGATAGAACTCCGCTTCCCACTCCTGCTATGTGTGAACACGCGAGTTACAGAGTTAGTTCGACTCCGGGTGCGGGAGCTATCGAGAGAGGCTTGATCCCATCACGCCAGTCGAGGCTGCTGTAAATCAAACCTCATGTCAATTTATGACTCAGCACCCCCATTCACCTTGAAAGCATCCGAAGAGCTAAACACTTTATGTTCTACTCAACGGCATGTGACAATTTATCGAGACTAGAAATTCGTGAAGACAGTCAATCTTGGGGCAAGAAAATGACAACAAAGAGTTCCCGTAAAGAAGTAACACAACTTTGCCAACGACAGGATATGAATCATCCTTGACTCAAGAACATCCTTCTGTACGGTGTAGTTCGAAGCGTATTTTTACCAAGCTGCCAAGCAGAACAGAAAGAAGTCTTTGAGGAGTGACTGAGCAGTGATCGCTGCAGCACCTGTGTCCATGAGAGTCACCTTCAAACCTTTCGTCCGCCAGACGACTGCCGTCCACTTCAGACGATCCACAATCAGACGATCCACAACGGAACATATCTCACCACTTGCGACTCTGCAGTTGAGTCGGCTTGAAGGGCTGTACGCAATTCACAATAGTCCGTCTGAATTTCGACGTTTTGCTGGTTGTTAATTCGTAACTTCATGGCTTTTCGTGTTATAGTTAGGTCTGGGTCTGATCTGGAAGAAGGTGCATTAGCGTCGGGAGTTGAGACCAATGCAACGGGATAATCTCCCCAGGTATTACGAGACGATTCAACTTCAGCACATGATTTGGCCTTAAGTTCACGAGTACTCGTCGAATCTAAACCTCCTCACGCCCAATTTGCTCGTGGTTGACTCGCATCAAAGGGAGATTTTACGATTTTATGAGATGATGCTTGTGGTGGAAGCGAGCCTCCGTTTGTCATGTCATTGTAGCTGATCAGATCTCAAAGAATCCTCTACTGAAGGTCTGAGGCCGAGAAATTCGCCAGGACTTGAGAGAACAGGGGACTTTCTCCCACAGGTAATCTGAAGCGTAGTGTAGCACTCAGCTGCGGTAAGACTGGGAGAAAGGAAAGGGCTGAACCGGATCACACCAGCAAGAGCATGACAACATCAACAGTTTTTGCAACAGGACCCAACGTGACGTTGATTCCAGCTTCTTCGTTCCTGCTAACGGAAGGCCCGAAAGCCTCGACATACGTAGGCAACGGACGCAGTGGGCTGGGGAATAAACGCAAGAAATGTCAGGTATCGAGCCAAGTCGGTGCAGTTGATTAATTGTAGTTCTTAGTATTACAATATGTTTTGTCTAGGTAGCCCAAACCAAGTACTCAGAGAGCTGGTTTCTTATCTCCAGACTGGAAGCGTCACCAGGTTCAGAAGAACCCTCCTCTACGTCTTCATTGTGAGATGTTGCACCAAGGTTTTCTAGCTCTGCCTCCACGTTTAATTCCTTCCTTCGGATCAGAATATTGTGAAGGAGACAGCATGCATGGACAATGGTGGGAGCAAGCTCCAGACGACCACGGATCCCCACTCCAAGCACTCGGAACACTCGTTTCAGAATATCGAAGGCTCGCTGCGTGTAGACTTTCCCTTGGTCGTGATGATGGATGAATTGTTCTTGAGCATAGGACAAGGGCGACGATGTCGCGTACGGCACCATCAACCAGGGCAGGAGAGGATAGTTGGAGCCACCTATCACGTAAGGTCTAAGCTGAAAGCCTCCGTTGATGGACTGGATCGGCCCGGCCAGAACTTCACCAGCTAAGGCTCTCTCGTAAAGGCCAGAATTCCGAAGGACTCTGCTGTCATACGTGCGTTCCGGATAGCCACAACACACATCGAGAAAGGTCAGAGACGTGTCGGCAACTGCTTGGAGAACGATGGAGAAATGCCCTGTTCTGTTGATGTACTTCTTCGCTTCAGGCCCGCTGGGATTCAGGATCTCGACGTGAGTGCTCCCCAGAGCCCCTTGACAGTTCGGCAGTCCGCACTTGTCGAGAAACGATCGGGACACCTCGGCCACGGCCTCCCCGGAGGGCCAACGCAAATGGTGACCGAAAACTCGAACGATGGCTGGCACACAGTCCTGCATGATTTCATGCACGGACGACTCCCCGACCCCGAACTTGTCCGCAACTTCGTAGTAATCGACTCCATTCACCAGGCGGTAGATGGTTGCACCGACCCTGACAGTCACAGGGATACTCGGACGCAGCCTGGTGTCCTGTTTCCTTACGTGCACTTCCAAACTGTTGCAGATCCACAAGAAGGTCCTCCTCTTCATGCGGATTGCAGCCAGCCACCGCTCGTCCTCGCTCGAGCTCATGAGATAGGTGTTGAACCACACGCTCGTCCTGGGCTTGACCCACCACCCGCCATCTCCAGCCCCGTTAGCAGTGGAGAGCAGCCATGCGGCCCGATTCAGTGCTCCGAACCACGAGTGCAGGCCTTCTTGGTACGCCACCTTTTCTGCGCTTTCATCGTCCTCCAGGGGCTGCCAGATTTCAGGCATGGCGACCAGCATCGTCTGTATGGCGATCACTGCCCCGGCAGCCGCGAAGACAGCCAGCTTTCGTTTTCGTGAGGTGTCAGAGGCGGGTGGTGCTCCGTTGGCCGGTACCGGGTGATCCGACGAGCCTTGACCCTGGCCGATGCTTGACGGGCCATCGTCTTCGGCTTTGATCTCATTATCAAGGCCGCTTCCCGCTGGGCACTGAGTGCCTTCTACATCTGCAGGCGCAAAATCGCAGTGCCCTCCACCTTCGGGTGCAGTTTGCGGGTCTGGAGGGGGAAATTGAGAACTGCTGACGCCTTCCTGGGCTGCAAATTGGGGAATTTGGTCCTCTGTCGACTGGAGTTCCGATGCCTCGTCTGCTGCGAATTGTGCGCCTGGTTCGTCTTGGATTTGTGCCTTGGCATCATCCAGAGCTGCCGAGGGGCAGCCCGGGTCACCGTTACCGTGGATGTGAGAACCTTGGCCATATTCGCCTTGATCGTCGCAGGTTTGATGATGTTCAGGAGGGAAGTGACACAGATGGTCTTCGTCTTCATCCCCAGGCAATTGGGGATCAAGACGGGATCCCCAGGAACCTCCTTCATCTTCTCGACTATATTCTGAACTCTGATGATGTTCGACTTGGAAACTAGGGTTCTGATCAGATATAACGGAAAACTGAGAGCCGTGTCCTTCTACGACAGCAACGGTGGAGCCCAGATCATCTCGTGCTACAAAAGCTGATCCCTCCACATCTTGAGTTGAAAACATAACATCTTGACCATCTTCAGAAGAAAACTCATGAGGATCGACAAAGTCAGATTGAAAGGGAGGTGCTAGGTCGTTTGGTGCTTCAAAGAGAGTGACCTCGTCATTTTGCGTTTGAAAATGAGAATCCTCGCTAACACCAGACGGCAATGTAGAAGAACTGTCGACCTCGGCCGGAGCTGAAAACATTGCGCTTTGTGTCGTGGTATAATGAGAGGTCTGATCCTTCGGACCTGAGAGTTGAGCAGCCTGTTGATCCTCAACAGGAAAGTGAGAGCCTTGGTCATCAACGACTGGAAAACAAGATTCCTGACCAACACCGGTGGAGAATTCAGAAACTTCGGGTGAAAACTCTGACACTCTCTGTATAGCAGGTGAAAGAGCAGCTGCTTCCATGTGTACATCCTCGTCCTTCATGGATGGAGTTAGTGCATCCATACCACTCTGGTATGTAGGACTGTCCATCTCCACAGTTTCCAAGCAGAAGAGTAAGAAGCTGCACGCGTAACAAAACGAGTATGTCAGGATGACGATCTGGATCAGTCACGTATTTCGTAGCTTTTAAGAGACTCTGCTTCTACTATGATGGCGCAACCACGAATCTCAGGCGGGTGATCAACAGATGAAAATGAAAAGTAGCAAGGGGATGCTGAAGTTTTGGTATTCAGTGCAGGGCCTCGATGCTCGCTCATCCGAGATCAGGCGAATCTTATCTGAAGGCTTTTATTTCCCCATCCAATCTAAACGGGAGAAGACCTTAAGAATAGAGTTACTTGAGATCCTAATTTTCAAGAGATGAATGTGAGGTCGATAAACATCACATTCTGAAAACCAGCTCTCTGTTTGCCATGGTTTTGCACTATTTGCTCTAAAGTCTTGTGGATTTGATGTGATATTTATCAACCTCACATCAAATCCACGAGGCTTGTGCCCATAGAGAAAAACCATGGCAAACAGAAAACTGGCTTTCAGAATCAACAACTTCTCGGCCAAGTCCCATAAAAGTGGATACCACGTTTTGTTCCATGGACGCAAGAGCCAGGAGGACGGTACATCCAGAGAAGCTAAAATACCTCCGAGTTAAACTGGCGTCAAGCAACCGAGAATCGTCTCACTGCAATCTGAGCAGTACTCCACGATCCATCTGCACGCCATTCCGCTGCAAAAAATACCCTATCAACCAACCATTGCAAACGATTGAACGAAAGAAGATAACACAACGACTGCAGACTGAAGCTTCGTCGAAAGTCAGGGTTGTTTTTTTCAGCTTATATGGCCAGAAGCTGTCTACAGCGAACGAGGACTTGGACAACCACTCGAAGACTTGAGAAGGAACAAATCCAGACACAAATCCGAAGAGGCGAAGGAAGTAAAGGACGAGAACTGAAGCTCTGCTCTTGCTGAAAACCGTTCACGTCTATGCAGAGGTCAACTTTCCCCATGCTGCACGAATCTGCAACGATCTGTCCGACGTTCCGGAGTATCAACGGTACAGGACGCAAACCCAATAAGAATTCAAGCTCGACACGAACAGTCCAGAGGCGACATCCAGCGTATATGATGCACAGAAAGTCATCGAATATAATCACCTGCGCACGAGAAGTGCTTCGACTCTGGAAGGAGACTCGAGCCGAGACTTGAGCGGTTCTTGCAGAAGAGAAGAAGGCTGGCGAAGGTCACATCAAAGCCCTCTCTACTCGCGCTGCAGATTCAAAGTTCAAAATCCCGCCCTTGCCCAAGGTCGTCCATCCTTGGCAGCACTCGCTGTGATCCTAAGGGATTCCGAACACGGCGAGAGCATGAGGCCGATCTTAGTCCAAGCTCCTTCGCTCATCCAGGAAGCGTCACGCGCGTCATAGCCTGCTCATGAGTTCAGCTCCAGGGCGATGTCCGTGGCATACCTCCCAAAACCTTCAAACCCCAATGCCACATCTCATGCTCTCAATGCTCGAATGAAGCATCGTCCTCCTCGTCCTCGTCGGGCGTGCGTGAATTCCATCTGCTTTATGTTCGTGACAGATTCTGTTTCTCTGAACAGGACCCTATACCAGTCAAGAATCGATCGATCGATCGATCTCCTGAAGTGCGAAACACTTGCTGAAAATTTGCGCGCTCTTTCAAGAAAGAGACGCCGTGTTGAACACTAGAGAACATACTCTGGTCCTACAGGACATCGACTCGCGACACAATCATCCATCGAATTCCAAGAAACATTCCGGCATGAACTAGCAGTGTCACATTGCTGCCCACCAAATTCTTGGCGCGGATCTCGTAGTATCCACCTCGTTCATCAGACACGCTTAACTCGATCGAATCAGGTGGTCTTCGGAGAGCTGTTCATGGGAGCGGAAGAACTCCATCGTCCTGCAGGTGTGTGTGCACTGACGTAAACTACTCAGAAGCACAACTGAGGTGCTTGATTGATTCACTCCAGGGCCTCATATTCTGCACGTTTCCAGTCCCAAACATTAATTCGAACGGTCTCGAGTGTCGAGCCTCGAGCCTCCAGCTCCTGGGGGATTGTACAGAGACAGTACGCCCATGAATTAATTTTCCCGCAGTAAGCGGGTCTGGCAGTGTGATCATGTGACCGAATGGCCATTTTTGAAAGGATTGAGGTAAAATGTCGGAGATCGGGTTGTATGGCTACTCGGTCATAAGCTGTACTGTTGGAGAAATTCTCGAAGCGGTCACACCTTTCAGCGTTCAGCTCATGTGAGAGGGTTGGAGTCTTTTCTTACTTGCAATTCGTTTGATAAAGTGTAGTCAGATATCGTGTCAATACGAAATTTTCTGGTAGGAGATGGGAGCTCTGGTCTTTGAGGGCGCCATTTCCATCTTCTTGCAAGAGTCGTCGAAGAGTGCAAGTTGATGAGGAATGTCAGTAGATCCAAGACATTTTAGCTTGTTAGTGAGAATATACTGGAACATTTTTTTATGTACATGAATCATACAGACATTCCTCATTTGGTCTATACACGTATTAAAACTCAAAATAGTAGTACACGGATACATTAGAAAATGTTTGAACTGTCAATCAAGATCATAATCGTGAAAGTAATAATAATCTACATATCGAATTAAGTTTTTAAACAATGACTTTGTCACCTGCATTGCACATTACAGTAAAACAAAGGTTTGCAACTCTATGAGTCGCATAACAAGCATAATCTTTTGCAATAATCGAAAAAATTTAAAGTACAACTAATTTTGTTTAAATATTATTTAACGAATTTGAATTTAAAAAAGAACTTGAACATGATTTTTAAAGAAATTTTCTTTGATTAGATGATTGGAGGATTGTCTGATATTTTAAATTATATTTGTTTTATAAATAACAGATATCTCAAAAAACTTAAAAGGATTTGTGGTATATGATTGCTAAAACTTTGAATGAAGATTATCAATCTGGAAAGCAGTTTATAGTAGCAATGTATAAATGAGTTACAATTATGTATTTCCTTGATTGAAAAATTCTAGAAAGACTCTAGTGATAGTGATGGAATATTATAAATTTTTTTAAAAGAAAATTAGTTCTTACAAATTCTTCAAGAAAGTCAAGAAATTTGAATTAGAAAGTAAGGGTTAGGAGGTATATATACTTTGCAGGGTGTAAAAAGGAGATATTTTAGATTAGGAATTCCTAATCTAGAATCCCAAATATTAGGATATTAGAGTCCAAAATTAATGGAGGTTATCTTCAGTAAGAGAATGAAACACTAGATATCATGAAAGGATGACTATGTTTTCTTCCTGTTTTTTTGTTTATTAATAACAAGTCAGTCAAGTAACACTTGATACCTGTTTTATTGAGAATAAAACCACTGTATATGGTCTCTGAAGATGCTGCTCTACATAGACATGCGAATCCTTTTACCAACCGTTAATTATTACTTTTGTTGATGTCACCGATCAAAAGTAAGATGACATACGTACTTAAGTACTCTGCCTTGCTTAAATGGCGATGAACAAGGTATAACACTACAGATTTATTCGTTTTCTAACAAAGGTTATACATTTGTGTTGACAATAAAATAGTAACCAATCGTAATACTTGTGTTCAAGAATATAATTGTCATTCAAGTTTTCGTATAATTTATATTTGATTTATTTCCTCTTTTCAAAAACATGGAGGATCAAAAGAAAGTGATAATACAAAAAGAAATAAAATGGTAGAGAGTGTTCAATGTATCACATGATCATTCCAACCAATGATATCACGCATTAAACTACTCACTACGCATTTAGAGAATTTTCTAGGTACATTGTTGACATTTCCTTCGATTCCATAACATGCCTTTGGAGGGCTAATATTGTGAGCTATTGTGTTTCATGCAAATGATGATGACGTCTGTACTACAAATACTCATGGAGCTTAGCAATCAAGGATACACCATGAAGGTATGCAACACGACGAAACTCTAAATTATGACTAATCCAAATCTAAGAAAGGTTGTGGTGAAATCTAAAACTCCAGCATTTGTTATTCAAACATAGAAATGTGCGAAAAAATACATTTACTCGGCCAACTTGGAGATTAATGCATGTGTTTGTTTTATACTGACAACATTTATGCAATAATAAATTTCAGGTGTCATGATTTTATTTTATTAAATACGGACAACAAGACATGAAGTAACAAAAATCACGTCCCCTTACAAATCCTCTTCACTCATCAGACACAAACAAAAAATCAAATATTTTCTCACACCTAATTCCACTATTCTTCATCCTTCTAATTAAAAAGCTTTGAAATTTTCTCTAGGAGAATGCTAATGGTATCTATTGGAGAAGCGAGGAGAGTGAGTTAGTGCTGGGATTAGTTCTTCATAAATAATGAGGCAATATTTTTCTAAACGTCGTTTTACATGAACATACAAAATGATTTCTGAATAGTATAGCAAAACTAATCAATTCTTCAACTTCTACTAAAATTTATGCGGCTCTCAATAGTTACTTCTAGCTCCAAAAATCCAATAAAAGATTCTAACTCTATCACGTCCAATATTACATCACATTTCTACAACACTTTACAGTCTACCAAAAAAATTATGGCACAATACTGCAAAGTACTGCTAAGGTTTCTCATTCTTCAACTCTAAATTTCTCTCTCATCCAGTATATCCAGTTACCGAGGTTAGATGTCACAAGTAAACATCCAGATGCGGATGAGAGATTGTGTAGATAACGTGCTGCAGTAAAACTGGAACATCGAAAAATGGAAAACACCAGTCTGAATCTCAACCCTCAGTCGTCTACAATTATTTGATGAATAACATTGAAACTCATTCGATGTTGATATAAGATACAAGTTGTCATGAACCTTATTTTTAAATTAACGTCATTCGTCCGTTATTCTTAAATAATATTACATCAGCATTTGTGAATGCTGATGGAATGAGTTACGGCATTGTCAACTTGCAATCCTAGGCAAGTTCGTGATACTGCGTCCAAGAACCACGTACAGTGACAAACGAACATGGCATTGCACCGAAGAACTAGGTACAACTACAGTTGAGTACATTGCGACGGCGACCAGATTCTTTGACACGCCGCCTTTCTTAGATCCACATGCGGCACAGTGAGAGGTGAAGCTTATCCCGTAATTCCGGGATACGAATCTCGGGTCCCACAGTTTTGGAAGCAGAATTTCGTGATTATGTCGAACTATTGGGGATTTAAGCTTCGTTTAGGATGGCGAAAGCGAACGTGCGCGTCTGGGATTCGCAACATGCTGGTGCTCTGGGCTTCTCGTTCCAGCACGGGCTGAAGCTGGTGCACTTGTGAGTCTGGCGATGGCTGCTGTGGTGGGGAGGCAATGGATTTCGATTTCTCGCAGCGGCCAAGCATGGGCAACGATGGCCAAACCGAAGGCCCCCGTCGGACCTTCGCAAACTTCCAAGGTGGTGAAATCGCCTCAGAGCGTGCCAGTTGCGTCAATCAAATCTTCCAAAGGCGCAACGCCTGGAGCCCAGTGTGTCGTTGCTGCACAACATTCCAATGCGAGAATCAAGAAGAGCAATCGGCGCTCCCGATTCGGTGATCCTCTTTCGGCTGATGACTTCGATGAAGAGGATTTTCTTTTCGACGCCCTATCCTCTGTGCGTGCCTCTCCTGCTCGTTTTCCTTGGACCCTATAGGAGTAGAGGGAGGGTTTTTGAGTCCGGAGAAATCTCTATGAAGTTAGGAATTTGGAGATTAATTCCGTGTGGATCTTCATTTCTTGTTAGAATCTGGTACCCTTCGCATTGGTCTTTTCTTTTTTCACGATGTAAGCATGATCAGGTGGACCTCTCTGTTTATTGCACTCCATATTTGAAAATTTCATTCACATGCCAATGAATTGTTCCCTTGCACATAGAGTCGTGCTTTGTCCAGCCGTTTCCTTAGCGTTGTACCTTCGAAGATTTATTTGGGCAACGTTGTTCTGAAGATGATAAACGAGATGGGCTACCAACCTTTTCCTGTTCTACTTCAAACTTCTAGACTTCAGGCAAAGAACTCTAACGTAAACCCTGAAGAGGGTTTAAAAGCAGGTTCATGTCGTGCCCAATTTTACACTCGGAAACTTTTAGACTAGCATTTGGAATTGATCATCTAGAATCTTTCTTTCGAATAGATGTCTCCAATTCAGTAATTCTGCTCTGAGCGGGAGGCTCATAAAGTCACTCTCCTAATCAGGAGTTGGTCGGCCATCTTTTACTTTGGAACAGGGCGTAGTCAGCAGTACGTATGCTAACAAACAAAATCAGTTGCCATGAACAAATTGCTCAGTGATTTGTGTGGATAATGACAGGATGTCGACCTACAGGCCGTGGAGATGGAAGAACTGGAGGCGGAAGCCGTTGTTCGTAACTCCCATCGCCAACTCAAGAAACTTGGAAAGACTGGAGGCAAAAAGAGCGAGTCCACAGTGAGCTCGAAGGTTTCAAAAGTTGGGAAAGTGTCGCCAGTGATCGAAGACGATGTCATCCAAAATCCAGCATCGAACAGATCCAGTACCAAAAAGGCCGTCAAAATCAAGCCCTCATTGGCCTTGAAGTTGCGAGGCACTGATCTCACTTCGGAGGAGTACGTACCTAGAAGGGATTGGGAGGAACAGGCGTACCAAATTATAAAGCGGCAGAAAATGAGGGATGCCCTGCAGGAGAAACTGGAGGACGAACAGGAAAGGCTGGAGGCAATTGCAAAGAAGGCACGACAAGCACAACAGAAGGCAACAGGAGAGGGCCACATGACACGACAGACACTGAAACTAAAAGGAGAGCCTCGTGTCAACCGTCATGCACCGAAGTCAGCAGAAGAAGCTCAAACTGTGGAGATTCCTGAACCGTGTGTGGACATGGCCAGCACACAGCATCAGAGTCTTCAGGCAAGAGTAAGAATCTGTACTTTTGTCTGCCTCATCGTTTTTTAAACTCCAGCAATGCAAATGTCAAGGTTGTTCATCTAGGTTCTCAATTCCTGCAAATACGTTAATTGGCCTACATATGTTACTTGTATAGGAATATATAGTAGTACTGCCATGCTGGATACATACATCCTGAATGTTATTCTCTTGAACAGGAGGGTGGAGCGACGGAGGGCATGGACTTCAAACGAATGGCAAGACGTCTGAGTCTAGACCAGAAATGGCGGCCTTTAATAGAGTACCTACAGAATCTGGGGTTACAGGAGGGCGATTTTTCTAGAATCGTAGACCGACATAAAGCCTGTCTCCAAGCCAATGTTAAAGTTGTGAAGGAGCGTGTAGCTTATCTTCTTAGTTTGGGGGTGAAGTCGGAGGACTTGCCAAAACTCATAGTGAGACATCCTCAGATTTTGGAGTACCGAGTAGAGCAAGCCATGAAACCTCGTGTGCAATATCTTAGAAGTTTAGGCGTAGAAGAATCAAAGCTTGGTAGAATAATAACGGTAGCACCCACTCTTCTTGAATGCAGTTTGGAGAGATCAATAAAACCGAGAATTAGCTATTTAATAAGAACTGTGGGCATAAAGCCCCAAAATTTAAGTACCATAGTATCCAGAAGTCCCCAGATTTTGACACAGAGTATAGAGGACTCTATAAAACCACGAGTAGATTACTTTTTGAATGAAGTCAGATTGTCCAAGGAAGCTCTGGCTAAGATGGTCACAAAGCATCCCCAGCTCCTTCACTACAGCGTTGAGGATGGCATCAGACCGCGAGTGGAGTTTTTAAGAAGCATCGGGATGGGCGATGATGATATTATAAAGGCCCTGACAAGATTAACACAGGTATGTCCTCTGTATTTTCTACGGTTCTTCATTTCCAATCCACTCCGATGTATTTTGAGCGAAGCTTACATTTACACTGTCAGGCATTCACTCTCTTATGTCGTTTGCAGATTCTTTCTTTGTCTGTTGACACTTGCCTACAACCCAAATACGATTATCTTGTGAAGGAGCTGAAGGGTGGTGTGCAAACAGTGACCAGTTTCCCAGCCTATTTTAGCCTCTCCCTCGATCAAAGGATTATTCCACGGCATAAATACTTAGAATTTTTGGAAAAGTGTCCTAAGGGCCCCTTTCCAATGAGATTATTAACTGTTTCAGATGTTGCTTTTTGCGAATGGGCCAAGTCCAGTCTCGAAGACTATCAAAAGTTTCGTCAGGATCTTTTGTTGAGTACATTCGCGAAAAAATTCGAATGGAAGAATAATGTACATATATAATTTATGTAAACTGCTGTAGTATATGGATAAATCCATGCCCAAGTTCACGGCTTGGAATTTCGAACGAAGTTGATAATTTTTTGTGATGCACTTATACTGAATCATGTGGACTCTTGTTCGAATTCTGTTGTTTTTGTGTTCAACATTGGTGTGAAGAATATACTTCCAATTTCGGTTTCTAATCGAACATCTCGTGCCCAATTTGTTTTCATGAGTTTCAATTTCCGCACTGTGATTGTGGAGTTTACTTCAGATCAGTTCGGAACAATTTGAATAATGTTGAAGATTGTTAGAAGGTATGTTCTAGAAGTTTGATCAATATTTTCTACTTCAATACGTACAATTACACTCTAAGATAAAAAAATAGAACTCAAACTCATTTTTCGTAGGTTTCATGGAAGGAGGATAGAACAGTACATAGTTGAAATGTTATTCCCCTTAAAGAAAAGGAGAGATCACTTCAGAATCCTCTAATTTTTGACCGGGACCTTTTATTGTGGCCTGGTCACTAGAAGGAGTTGATGGAGAACCTTTGCTGACTTAGCTGTTTGCACTGTGCCTTCTTCTGTGCTGATCTCAAAATTCTCAACTTGACATGAACATGTGATGAGGTGGTCTTACTAAACGTATGAACTCGTATTCCGATATCACAAATCAACATGGTATAGCATGTGACTCAATCAGCTCATAGTTGACATAACTCATCAATCTACATAGTTGACTGTCAGCCTATAAAATTGTTCCCCCTGTCTCCAAGTGAAATTCTCGCAAACTTCTCATTTTGCCAGTCTTCATCCCACGAGGGCGAAGACCTCAAGAATAAGATTACAGGTCAAATTTCTGAACGTTTTCAAACTCGAGAAGTCCATACTCCATTCGTTTTAGGTAGAGAAGATACAGACCCCACCAAGCAACACAATGTAAGTGATAGTAATGTAGATTAGAAACAAAAACTATGTCCTTGACTCGTTTTTCGTGAATTTTTGTGACTTCGTGTATATATAGTTACTATCCTGATGATTTTCTTGAACTTTGTTAGAGATGTGTGTTGCTGTATCATAATAGACGTTGACATATGGGTACATTTTTATCATTGTCTTATTGATCCAGTATTTAAGACAATGGTATGTATATGTGCTTTAGACTGTTTCGTTGAGAGAAAAATAGATTTTACTTGTAAAGCTTCTCCTAGACTTTCCGTTCTCGTCCTTATGTAGAAGGCATCAGAAGCACCGTTGGCACATAGTAATTTAATCACAAGAGAGAATTTTCTTCCATTTTCCTTTGGCGTTTGGCCTACTCAGGCTTTTGCTTCACACTTGTTGGTTGATGTGGTGGATCCCGCCTTCCATTTCATGCGTCTCCCTTTCTTTACTTGCGCTCTTGAGCTTCGCAGGAGATGGACTAAATTATTGTCTGTAATCTCCCACTTATTGATAGCACATGATGTCAACATTAAGCTTTCAACTGTGTTACAGGTCGAAGTGGAAGGTCAATACTTTGAAACAACTGCCCATGTAAACAATACATGTACTCTTTTAATCTTCATTTTCCAGTACCTAAACAAATACGGACATTCTTTCTCTTTGTATGACACTGGTCTAAGATGTACTAGAATGCGAGTACACTTGATTGTTTTCAAAGTAGGTCACGATCACCTTTACGAGCAGAACGAACAAATTGTGCAGTTGGGGTTTTCCTCCTGGGCGGATAGCTTTTCCTTCATGCTTTATATGCAGCGAAAAATTCAGGTTAGGCTAAAATCTCAAAACTGAAAAACTTTACTTCGCTGGAGTGGTAAGACATATATAGTGGACAGGTACCGACCGAAAAGTGGTGGTTCTCGGTCGGTCTTGTATCAGTAGGACAGGAAGATCAAATTTAGCCTTAACCTGAAATCAATTGTACACCATAAATCCTCCACATATTCGCATGTGGGGGAACAAAACAGATGTTCACAAGTTGTTCAGAAGAAAATACTTGAGCTTGATCTCCGCTCACGTCCATAATCTGGGTCTGTAGCATGTGTATAAATTCACAAGACAGTGGGCCTTCTTCGGGTTAACGAAGATGAATTAACTGACTCATTCATCGGTGTAAAAAATTGCAGCAATTGCCGGATGAGGCCCACATACTCTTTATAATACACTACAAAACGTTCTACTTCAGGCAGTTTAAAATGGCCTTTTCGACCTCCCTTCCTCAGGTTTGTCCCTGTAACTACAATTGTCATTCCGACGCCGAAGGTTCGGAAAGACAGTAACGAAACAGTTAAGACTAAATTCGCTGACTAAGCAGTTCCATAACATATACAAACGTCCGCTATAAACTACATACACTCTCGTAAAGATAATTATCATTCTCGACAGCATGGCATGCCAAAAATTGGTCATCAGGAGTGGGAACCATGGACACTTCGCCGATAACAAAAATAGCAACTTCGTGCATACAGGATTGCTTCCTTAGTCCTCATCACCACTTTTCAATTTGGTACTTTGGACTACCTACTACTCGATATAGAAGGTGCGAAGTTTCTATTGATGACAAAGGGGTCCTCGTACTAATACGCAACATGAATGACATGCACAATCGAACAAACCAGACGACGCGGAGATATATAAACAACTGCCTTTGAATTACCCTTACACTGAAATAGTAGCGAAGGCAAGTAATCAACTCAAATTGAAGGTCTCTACTTCAAATGGGTTCTAGAATTTCGTGATAAATAGTCTACGAAATTACCGCCTTAATGTACTGTCTTCATGACTTCCGTTGTGACAGTATAAGACTAAAAAGACATTCAACTCACACGAGTATAATCCACATGGAATCCTCATGCCGCAAACTGAGGTTGAAAACCCGTGAGCGTCTACTTTCAAAAAGGCAATCGCAAAATAAACCGTTCCATTGAGAACCCACTATGCTTGAAAACTTATTTTTTCAGCTTATTAATCGGTAGGTGTCCATAGCATCCTGGGAAACTGTCGAGGAGAACAAATGGTACACAACAACAGCATCCATGTTTCAATATCAAAGGTGAACCCAACTGGACTATCACCTAAAGTTGGTGAGATACCTACCTACATTACAACGAACTTCCGCTTTCAAATCCATGAGATGCCTGACCTGTGATAGATTTTGAAAAAGCATTTCAGTTCATTCTCTCTGTATCAAACATTTCCGCCTGATGTCGAACCAAAAAGTTGGCGACGAGATTCTGAGATGGGACGTCTTCGCGCCCTCTACTTCTTCCACCACAAAGTCACGTCCTTGCGGCGATTAATTTTCTTTTGCAGCTGCAGAAGACCATAAAGCAGAGCCTCTGCCGTTGGTGGACAACCCGGGACGTAAATATCAACAGGGACAATTCGGTCACACCCTCGGACCACTGAGTATGAATAATGGTAATAACCGCCTCCGTTTGCACAGCTTCCCATCGAAATCACCCAACGAGGCTCTGGCATTTGATCGTACACCCTGGACAAGGAGAAATTGTGAGCTACAATGTCAAACCCAATTCACGCGAGTTGTTGACTTCTCCAACCTTTCGCAACACAATTCTACTGCCACCAGGTATCGAACACCTCGACTTCTATCAATGTTTGCGATTACTCCAGCTCATTTTCTTAGCTACTTTTTCATATTTTGTCTCAAAACAACCTTCACATCCCCTTCTCCACATGATCTCGCCGTCTAAATCTGTCCCTTATGTCCTACCCGCTTCCGTGTCGAGCGATAACAAAGACCTTACGTTGCAAATGGCATTCGTGTTTCATAACAACTTGCAAACTCGAGATTCTCTCATCTAGATGTCAGCTCACAGGTTCTTCCTCCTGATGATATTACCCCATTGAAATATGTCATCAGACCCCACATGTACGTGCCCTCACAACTACAACAACAAATTCCAAAGCTCAAGGTATGGGCGCGATATGCATCAAAGCACTGTACTTCACTCAAAATTTCTTAGATGTACGCGAATTCCATATACTGATCAAAATTCTCTGACCCCCCGTTAATTTCTCCATAGAAAACTTTCTCCACGCTCTTCTTTCTAATCAATCCCCATAACTACGGCAGCACGGTCCCTGAAGCTAAGGTCGACATCGTACTGGCTGGTTGGTGATAAATAAGTAGATAAAGAGAATTGTTTCGACGCAATCTGCAAACCACAAGCAACCAATTCACCCGAAGAACCCTAAAATCTCCCCAACACAGCGAAATCAGTCACAGTGCAAGGAGGAAACGAGAAGTACTTGCGCAAAGCCGGAGCCATTTTGTTGGTCAAAGTTCCGGCGACGATCATGCAATCGGACTGACGAGGAGAAGGTCTGAAGATGATTCCGAATCTATCCAGATCATAACGCGCAGCACCGGTATGCATCATTTCCACAGCACAGCAAGCGAGTCCGAAGGTCATGGGCCAGAGGGATCCAGTTCTCGCCCAGTTCATCAACGCATCGACTTTCGAAATGACGAAATCCGCACCCGAAGAGCCCGTGGCAGAAGAAGGTGCACCTGCCAGCGCCGGGGCACTGCTGTGAATCAATCTGGTCGTCAAAGCGGCGCTCTGAGCAATCTTGGGTAGGAGCGCCATTTTCCTGCAACAACAATCACCCCCAAATCGCCGAATTCAGCACAACCCGATCGCACTCCTCCGCTCTGATCCGCAGCCCGGGCTTCCGATTCTCGACAAAGCTTCGGCAGAAGAGATCCACTCGAGAAAGGCAAGAAGAGCAGAGCAGAGCTGAAAGAGGCACTCCTGCTGCTGCTGCTGCTGCTGACGGACGACGATTCCTCGTTGGCGCGACAGGTGACAGAACTCTACTTCCGTCGTCGTGTCGTGAGCCAGACCGTGAGCGCAAAGCGTGTTTGTCTATTTATGACCCTCGACGTTCCTTGAACTCTCTCACCACATCCTCATCATCATTCACTGCATCCACTGTTCCGTTTATTTTCGTCACCGAGGTTTCGGTTGTTGTTGGTGATATATTCATGCGCAGCTTGATCCCGAGTACTGCATCACACCTCAAAAGCATACCCGAACCCGATCCATGCCCACGTATTCTCCGCTGGTGGTACCAATACCCGACCCATATCCGAAGAGACAAAACCGAAACCCGAAACGAAACCAAGTCGCCTCCGAATTGATACCCGACTGGACCCGAATAGATGGGAAAAAACATACTTTTTTTTATTTAGCTTTAAGTTTTCGGTGGAACCGAAACATGAACAGAGGAGAAAAAAACATACTTTTTTTATTTAGCTTTAAGTTTTCGGTGGAACCGAAACATGAACAAAGGGAAAAAACAGTGCTTTTTTTTATTTAGCTTTCAGTTTTCGGGGGAACCGAAACCTGATGGGAAAAAAACATATGTTTTTTATTTAGCTTTCAGTTTTCTCTGGAACCGAAAAATGAACACATGTGAAAAATCCAACTGTTCTCTATTTAGCTTTCGGTGATAGGTGGAACTCTAATCTGGACAGTAGACGACATTAGCATTGAGCGTAGAAACATGAGATCGTCGAGCTTGGAAGGATGCAACAGGTTGCGTTTTTTGCTCATGGTATTCCCTGCGTCCGAGAAGTTACTCTCAGATTTTGCGCTGGAAGCTGGAATGGTTAACACAGAGCGAGCTAGTCGAGAAAGTACAGGAAATTCGTTTTGATGGATCTTCCACCAAAATAAAACTCCATATTTAGATAGAAGTGTGCTTTCATCGTCACTACACCTATGACAAATATAGTTGTTGAGTTCTGTTCTCAAAGAAAAATCAAGCTGCACGTCATCGGCAAGAGGCTTTTCTTCGATGGTGCTGTCGCTCTCAGAACTGTACTCAGCAAGACGACGCACAACACGTCGACTGTCCTCTTTCTTTCTTTTATGAGATGGCACACTCCTCTTGCCGATGCCAGAGCCAATCATATGATCTTTCATCATATTTTCTAGATTTTTTTGGCCAAGTTCAATATCAACAGAGTCAATGCCAAACTTGTCTAGACGACACTTGGTTTTAGGATTGAGTAGGGCGGCAATGACATGAATGTCGCTCCAAATAAACTTCTCCCTGATCAGTTCCGCAAATTTTGGCTTCAAGGCGATGAATGCAGGAGAGTCCTTCTTCAGTGTGGTTATCGTGCCATCTTTCTCCTTGGTGGTGATATCTGCCGCAACAACCTGACAATGCTTTAGCAGATTCTGCCGAAAATAGAGTACACGGTGTATCGTAGGCTCCGCAAACATCTCAAGAGCTAGGGTGGCCTCCTGAAAGGGCACTAAAAAAGCAATGAACTCCTTGAGAAGCTCATGATCAATCTTATTGACCTTGGAAACCAATCCGCGACCTCGTGCACGTAATATCTCAGTCAACTCCGGGAGTGCTTCGTCAACGCTGATCATGCAACGGAGGGCAGAATTCCATCGTGTCGCATTTTCCTGCTTGAGGGTCTTTGCAATCTCATCCTGCAGATTCGCTTGTTTGACATATGTCACGAGAGCTTTGACCTGATCAATAGTATCAAACAACTCAAGGGCTAGATGGTAAAACTCATAGAAGGGAGCAGATTTTTTACCTTCAACCATTCGAGTTCTCTTGTCGATAATCGTTGTTAGGATGGTACTAATGATGTGATCACAACACGGTATCCAACCATAGAGACTAGGAATGCCATCTGCAGAGTGCATATTTGAGCCTCGGTCTGTGACAACTGTAACCTGGTCATATCTATTGATGCCAAATTTTCGTAAAACACCCTCATATTTTTCCAAGACGTCACATCCGTGGTGCGGCCCAGGAAATAGACTGCATGCAAGCGTGCGGTGATGTAGAGTGAACTCGTCATCGATGAAATGCACAGTGACTGATAGGAAAGATACCTTGTTGATGTCATCGGTCCAAATATCGGTTGTGCTGCCAATCTGAATTCCTTCCGCCAGATGTGCCTTCAAGGCGGCAGTGAGTATCTCCCTTCCAGCATTAGATCGCATCTGCACATTTCTACTGATTGTGGTTGGATCAGGAAGAATATTGTCCACAAGCATGCCCACCTTAGAGTTGACCCCAATGTTGAGGACGGTCTGTGTATAGTTCCTGAACCCTGTGCCCTTCACAATATAAAATGGACGCATGTCAACAGCGCACATGTCCGTCAACGCCACGGTGATGAGTTTCTTCTCACTTGTAGTCGCATCGCGGCGCGTTGCTGTAGCTGTCATGACTTGATTGGTCTCTGCAGGCGGACATGAGTGTTTGGACATGGCGGTGGTTCCGTTGGCTGATCTGTATTGATATACAGTGAGACATTTGTTGCAGCAGACAAAAAAATTATCACTATAACACAGATGTTCACCAGTCTCCTTGATCGCAACAAACGAAAACGATGTCCAGACACCTGCCCTAGCTTTACGGTTTTTCACTCGATAATAGAGACCGTCTTCTTTCTGCAAATCTGCGGTGATTTTTGTCTTCAACGTGAGCATATCTTTGGAACTCATCTCAACTGTCATTGTCGCCCGTGACAAACCTAGAGAGTAACGGACGAGAAGAGAAAGTGCGAATAGCACTGTGTCAAGTCAAAAAACACTCCACGAACTCTGTACTGAGTAACCCTAATTTCCATTTTTAAACTTAACCCTATTTCTAAACCATATTAAGAAAAGTCCAACCCGAAACCGAACCGGACCTTTCTAGTTTGGTCCAAACCCGACCCATACCCATCGGGTCGGGCGGGTTCGGTTCGGGTTTCGGGTATGGGTACCCGATGCAGTACTCTGGCTTGATCACATATTGCAGTCCAAGATATCACTCAAGATGAAAATACATCCACCAAAACCCATTTCTCATCCGCCACGCTAATTTAATAATCTTGCATGTGAGTAGATTTTGTCGCACTACGGGTCATATATGACTTCAAGTCTCTTCATGATTTATTCTCAAGCTATCTAGTTATGTGATTGACTTTTCTTCTTTTCCTATGTATTTTCTTCATCCAAGACTAGTGATCTTATAGCTTGAGGAATTTGCAAGACATTAATCATAGATTTAAGAATGACCAAAATAATATTACTATTCTTTGATCATTCTTGTTGTTGAACATTTAGAATTATCAATGATTGATTGATTATTTTTATTGGGTTGATCATTTTACTATTGTACATGTATGACATTAAATCCGTGCAAATTTTTTTTTAACATCAAAATTTTCATGATGGGTTACCGAATGTGGTATGGTATAGTGGGTTTGAGAATTGCTTTTATCATATGCTCTAAAAAAGTTTGAAATACAGAATGTATCTTCATGTGTGACAGAACTAATTTTACTGTTATATATTCTATTTATTATCTTATTTGCAAATTTCATATGGATGCATAAATCGATTTGAGTTTTTAATTTACCAAAAATAATACATTGTCACAGTAGCATTAGCAAGTTATCTTTTTTCCTTTTGTATACAATGTATTTCATTTTACATTATTACTTTTATCAGATTTTTGATAACCAAATATGTTGATAATAAAAAATATAAAAATCACAAAAAATTATTTTCAAATTATGTTTTCAATGATTCATGATTAATGAAGAACCTTTTTATAATGAATTGTGTGACCTATTTATTTTATTGAAAATAGAATAAAATAGATTCATTATTATCTTAAGAGTTAAAAAAATCATCTTGATATTTATCACACTCATTACAATGATGATAGGAAGATGAGAAAGATGATGACATACACTAAACGATGTACAATTAGATATAATATTTCATAGACATTTGCAAAATTTCCTGCATGTTCACAGAAGAGAACTCGCATAAAGACTATCGACAGACAGGCTTCAAATCCTTTTGATCTTTGAGAAGGTTCCGGTCTCAGAGAAGTAGGTACTTTGAGTGCCGCTTCCAAGGAGGGCAGCCTGAGCTTGAGGATTGCTAAGCTCAATACCCTGCACAACATTGTCTCAAAATTAATTTCTTTGTTTGATATGAGACCGAAGTTGTTTGACTTCCGACATTTTCGGTTCAAGTTATGAAACAAATAAGATCATCATCCCATTATCTAGATAACCATCCGTACGAACTGCTCTCCGACCATCTATGATCTTCATCAGATGTCAGCGACTCGTCTAATAGGTTAGGGATCAAACCATAGCAGGCGACATAAAATCACAAAATGCCAGCAAATTCATAGAATCCCGATATACAGCCTTCCGCCATTGACCTTCGGGCTATGAACGGAAACTACTTATCACTGTATGATCTTTACATTACAATCAGTAAACGTAGGGTGGTTCTGCTGTGAAGATATAGTATGTGCGGAATGTTTAGCCTTAAAAGAACTATCTGTGCATGATCGCCAAGAAAGGATATACTGAGTGATACATAACGCAAAATTCCAAGAAAACGCAAGACATCTGCAAGTTTCTATTAAACCAATTGCACAGCTTGCAAACATCCGATTGTCACACAACATTCATTCTAGAGTGAATCACTTCAGCTACTGTATCACGCACCTGTACAGGGGTGAAGGCAAGACTTGAAGTAAGTCCTGAGGTCGCACCGCTACTTCCGTACTGTTTTTCCTTAAATCTGCGAAGGAAAAAGTCGAGATTTGTCTCCCTTCAGTAAATTCTAACGGAAGAGACAACAAAACTAACCGTAAAAAAATAGGAATCATGATGTCTTAGTTTCATGTGCCCACGTCTGTGGCTCTTGAGCCTCATGCAGCCCGTCATAAAGCTTTTCCTAAATGCCCAGACTGGTTTGGTATTACGGCAGTGCAATGGTTGGAAATACTTTCATTCGAACTGTCAAAAACAATCGTAGAAAGAAATCAGTCCACAGCAAAAAAAACCCAAGTCGTCTCGTTCACATGAAAATACTCACTTCTTAGCCACTTTAGCTGCAAGTTTGCTCTGGCCGATCGAAACTCGAAGCTTTCCGCTGCCAGCTTGGCCTAACATACCATATCCTTCACCTAAACCATCACCTGTCCGAGAAAAGAGCCATGACAAGAAACAATAAGTCTGATTTTCGAATAACTTGCAAAGTTGTTGAGACGAAAACTCCAAAAATTGCATGCAAAAAGGAAGGGCGAAAGCAAAACCCATTGCAGTTGAAAAGATCAAGCACCTAATGAACTTTCTTCGGGTACCCCAAATCGCATTCTGTTCGCCAACTTGCGCATGTCCGTCAAGGCATACCTGAAACATTAAATCGCAACATGGTGAGCACATTGAAATTCAGAAAAAATCTTTGTACCGTCATTTTTGCACCTTGTTATATCAGCGGAACCATATCACAACAAAGTCCGCAGTAACTGCATGAAAACCGCAGGAGCTCTAACAGCTGGCTGAGTAGACACGGCATATACATGGCAGAGCATGGCATGGCAGAATGCATACAAATTACGGGAAGATAAGGAATCCATAAGCAAGATATAGCACTGATAATACCAACATGGCAAGACTGAAGGCAGAATACGAGATAGTGTAGTAAGAACGAGCTGCATTCGAGAAAGGGAAACAGGAAAAAAGCAGGCAACTGAGCAAAATTCAGAAACATGTCAAAAAGTTTAGTAAGACTCTTCTGCTTAGATAAAGCACGTTATACCTCTCTTTCATTTTCCTTAGCCTACGGCCACCGCGCTTTTTCTTCGGATCTGAATCTGGCACTGGTAGGGGTTTGGGTTGTTTCGCTGGAGGAGGCTCTTGCCATTTCTCAATCTTCTTACGGATCTCTTCTCTTAGGTCTCTTCCGGTCTTAGCTGTTGGATCACCCCTTGTTGAATCAACTCTAGCAGCAAGAGTAGACTTCCCAGCGACCAAGCGACAAGCTCTTGTTCGAAGAGCAGGAGGAGTGCTCTGCACGATCTCCGTGTGGAAAACAAAACCAGTATGAGGAAGGGCTGTAGCAGTTGAAAATCCAGCCAGATTCTTCTTCTTTGCTCCTAGAATCTGGACGTTACATGCTGGCATCTTGGCCAATGAGGATAAACCTCCAGCAACACCAATCAGCTTAGCAGCTACTTCACTTCCCACAATAGCGGATAAGTTGGGAGCTATGTATCCCATCCGACTCTCTACAAACGCTAGAACCTTCTTTTTTGCTTCATCTAGCGCCAACGCACGGTCACAAGCATCAAGTGTCTTCTGCAAATTTTCCTCTGAAAGTGGCTTTCCACTTGTGGTGGAGGCAGTGACCGAGACCACCATGATAGTTGCTGATGGCAAGAGACCCTCAAGGTCCACCAGGGTAAGATCCATCTCATTTGCTATCTTCCTCACTACACGAGAGTAATCGATAGGGTGGAGGACGAGGGATTCCAGTTCTGGAAACTTCAGTCTATACTTATCGCGGATGAAGTTGTGAATTATGACAATCTCGTTGTCAATATCAACAGAAAGTGTATTGCAGTCCACTATTAACTGGTACTCGGGGTCATCCTCAGAGACACGTCCCGTCTTCGAGTCTTCTGATCCTTTCGCCAACGCTTCGTCCACTTTCTGTATATTTCATCAGCATCAACCAGGTTAAAAAGCTCATCTAGACATCTCTTGGATTGTACCTGGTTATATTGTCCACTATCTTCATGTGGGCTTGAACAAGAGAACCACGCATGTACAACATTCATAGTACAACTTGAGCTATGCCAATAAGGTTACCTCATCTTATATAGAATTGAAAGTTTGAAGGCTTCTGATAAGATGCCTTTCGTCCGGTCAAGCTGAGAAAACAGCAAGTCCTGTCTCCGAAATTTAGTGCATATTCTTAGGCATTCTCGGTAGATTGCTTTGAAATAGAAAGGTATAGTGGGCTAATTGTGACGTGGTATCCCAACAAAAGGGTGAAGGAATATAGAAAAACAGTCCACGAGACGAGGTGACCTCTATCCTGTTAACTCTTCGAGGAAAGAGCATAAGAGACAAGTTAGTGCCATATACCACCGCTAAAGATCATCTAAGACTCGGGATCTCAACCCCAAAGCGATGATCATTAAAACACAAACGTTTGACCATCGCAGCTACTTGAGAATGCAATGAGATAATCCAATCCGTAAATTTTATCCCAAGACGGCTGAATTCCTTTCCAGCATAAGAAGGCAAGGAAGCTGGCCCTGAAACCAATAGCTCGATGAAGAAGTGAAGTCCGTTTTAAAACGCGACGTAGGTGAGCAGAAAGAATCGAAAGCAGAAACCTGGAACAGGCCAGGTCCCAGCTTGTTCATCATAAAACCACTTGACTGTATTCATACAATCTAAGTTCTACATGATAGCCCAAGGAATGACAACATATACTTGAATTTCATCGCACAGTCCAGAATATTCACACAGAAGAAGAGAGAAACATAAAAATAAAAAGGGAAAGACTTGGTCGTGAAAAGAGTGAGCTATCTCACTACTCTTATAGACGGAAGGTAAGCTACTGGCTAAACTTAGTGTGGGAGACACACAAGATGAATAGGAGGTTTAGGGAGCAGTGGATGCACAAAAAATAGGTCTTATACCCAACGTCCTAACGTGTTCATCTCACCAGCAAGAAGGATGCGTCAGAAGAAAAAAAAATGTAATGGTAAATGGTAAAAGATCAAGCCCGGGGGACCCAAAGGGTCAAAAGGCTGAAAAACACAACATGTGAGAGGAGAACTTGCCCAAAAAAACTGAACACCAAGGTCTTACCCGGCAGATACATATATGAAGCTGCTGTCTATCGCTGTCATTGTAGGGGTACTAAAAACCTTCTGGTCCTTCAGAGAGAGATGGCTTGCAGAATCTTGGGCCCTAATCGTATTTTTTACCACATAACCAAGAAAGTCGATCACAAAAGCTTCGTGAAACAGAAGAGGCCAGATATGCTGACGACTTCATATCAACAGACTGAGGTTATAGAGACACACAGCAGGCTAAAGCTTACCGCAAAGAAAGTTCTTTTCTTTCAAGTTTTTGCAAAGGTATACTTGGCCAAAGCGGGAGGTGTACAACGCTACTTTTCATTTAAAAGGACAACAAAGAGCTATCTAGGATAGCTAGAAGGTGGTTCTTAATGCTGGAAAGTCAAGATACAGCTTCAGTTTTTCATAGGAGGAGCTCATGGTATGACACTAAAACATCAACCAATGTCCTCACAAAACTGTATCATTACCAATAATTGTCCAGTCACACCTCAAACAGGCGGCCTCTGACAAGCCATCCTCCCTTCTTGCCATTGTGGTGACCTAGAGATGTACTCTTTTGTACAGCACGTGACTCAGGCTCCACGCCTTGACCTGCATATAAGGCACATGAGCATACTTCGCTCGTCAGCTGTGGCAATCACTCCCAAAAAAGCGGGGTAAGATAGTCTGGTTTTGGAGAATATCGTGGATAATTTTGGTGGCAGCTGTGGTTTAGAAGGAGTAGTTAAGTCTAACCGTAAGGAAGGCTTGCATCAGCTTATTATACAAGTTCCCGTCCACGATTTCGAACAGTAGCAATTCCTAACATGGAATTACAGCTTGCTTTCAAGTTTTGATGTAGTAGACTATAAAGCCTACCATTGTTTCACCCATCTGAAGACCCTGACTAAGAACCTATCTAGAATTAGAAGCAAAAAGGAATTTTCATTTCTATAGGAAAAATAACTTTTACGACACACTGGCTTGTGTCTGCCATATAGGGAAGTCACGAACAAAGAAAACGTGACGTCAAAACTTCAAATTCCCCAGTTTGTGTGCTGGGAATCTCTACAAGCCTAGCAAAGATCTTTGCTAGGCCGACCCTTAATGTGAACTCTTCTTCATAAGAGACAGCACGTATGCTCCAGTATGACATGGGGAAGAGCTTACGTTATTCGCATATCGTCAATGAAAACCACCTAACATACTTCCCCTTCCTAGTGACCATAAATATCCTGCCTGTGATGATTTGAAGAAAGCTAAGGTGTTGAAACACCTCAAATTACAAATACGAAACAGGAGTTCCGGCCTTAGCAAGACAAGTCAGGCCTGAAATAAACAATAGGACGAAGGAATCCTTCAGACTTTAGAACCAGTACAGGCCTTGCGCCTCACTGAACCTGACAGCTTGGATACTTGACTGAAAGTATCGGGGATATTTGTGCATACCACTGTAGCATCAAATTGATTTCTTAAGACTTCGGTTGCAACACCACAGTTCAACAGTCACGAGAAAATAAAAAAAAAGGAGTGAGAAAGATACAGAGTTAGATTCAAAGGTAGTCCTTCCAAAATACCCACCTTCGTTAAGTCATGAAAGCGTTGACTTTTCTGAAGTTTGGCAACAGAGTCTAAATCATCGTAGTTTAACGTTTCGACATCGTCCATGACATCGTCGACGTCGGCGGTGTCGTCTCCTTCTTCTGCTTCTACCTGAAGCCAAGAGCAAGATATAGTTATAGATATGGACATATAAAACACAATGAAATAGTGACTCAAAAATAACACTAAACAAGTAATCGAGACCTATATCGCAAGCCAAACCTATGATACTTCATCTAAAGATGAAGTATCATAGGTGTATGAACAAGCGTCATTAGCAGGTAATCAAGGCTCAAAGGCAAAATTGCGGTATTGAACAACATTTCTTTCAAGATTGCCCCACTAACCTCGAAAGGGCCTTCATTATCCGACAGATCTTCTAGATCAGCCAGGAAGGAGTCCGCCAGTGTTGCCTACAGAGAAAACCCAACCACTTGTAATTTGATGAAGGAGACTTATCACTTATTTTGCAACCCGTAAAAATTTGAAAACGCAAAGTAACATGTCAACAACAGAATCAAACGGCAAGATGTACATGCTTCTCTGCAGTTCACTAGTAAAACGAACAGAAAAAAGGACACTCCCATTTTTGTTAGGAAAAGATCGCGACCGTATCACAACAAAATCAGCGGTAAGACCTGCGCAATTTTCTATTTACAAGCTCAATTTCCATAATATGAAGCAATCACTAAACCCTGTGACGAGACAGACAAGCATACAAAAAAATTGAAATTACAGTAGGTGTACATGCTGTGTTCGCTTATCAATGTCAATCACTAAACCCTTTTAGCGAGAGATGATTCACCAGCCCACGAAATGGAAGAATGATATACATCAGAAATCACAACGAATAGAGGTCATCCTATTCGAACTAATCCGCCCCTCCCCACATCCAAAAGATACGTGAGAGAAAAAAGACGGTAAAGCCTACCATTGCAGTGATGCCGAACAATCTCTGCACGCTCTGTCCCTTGCGCCGTTCAGAATTCACGTGAAAAAACAATTGAACAATTCACGAACAAGCCAGCCTCCTCTGAAATTCGCTCTACGTATCGCACAGAGTCCGCCACAGGGCCCGGCAGCGGCTGCTTTGCCCTGAACCCACGCCCTCGACCAAACTACAAAACCTCAAAACTGTTGCAGCGAACGAACATATCCCAGCTCCTGTACCACAAATGCTGTACAAATTTACAAACTAGCATCGGCTCGGATGCTACTCATAACAGACGGGAACAGACGGTGATCTTGATCTGAAAGCTGTTAATCATTTATTCATACCCCAGACATTGCGCTACCGATCGACACAACAGAAACGTGGTCATTGATTCTCGCCAACTCCGTAAGTTAGAGGCACTAGGAAAGCGGTGACACCATGTCCATGTTCGAGCTCATGGTCACAAGGTCATCTGAACTCCTGTCTCAACATATTTGTCTCGTGGCAAGTACATATGATGCATACTATTAATCTCTTTTCAACCATTGGAGCAGATTTTTAATTTTATGAAAAATTTTATTTCATTATTGATCAATTTTCATAAATAAGAATGGTTCAGTATATACAGATTGTATGAATTTACGATGAACATTAAATCTCAATTTCATAAAAAATTAATTTAGTGCAGGAAATGAAATAGCAAGAAAACTCCAAGACATGACAAATATTTATATTTCACCCCTATGGTAGATATGAATCTTCTTCTTCCCAGTGCACATTTTGAATCAACCTCCGTTTACAAAAGCTTAATCCCACTATATTGCTTTGTTGGGAACCAACCACTTAGCTAGTAATCATGATTACGAAAATTATCCAACTAATACTCAACATCCATGTCTACTCATATTCATACTATTGGTCTATCAAGCAAACTACATTCATAACTAGAAGGTATATAGATACAAGTTTGATGTAGATTTCTTCTCTTACAATTTTATACCAAAGTAATCTCATGGGAAACATCATCAAAAATGCAATGATCATCTTGATTAATTTTGATTGGTTTGCCTAAATAATAGAAACTTCATTGCTTAGACAAGATCTAATGTTAACTTAGTGCGACCTGAATTCTAGCATAAAATGAGAATCCTAGCTTCTGAAACCATGATGAGCTATCAAAAAACAATATGAATTAAACTTTAGTGAGAGTAAGACCAGAAGTCGCAAATCTAACAACACCAATGCGTGACAAGTATCAATTATGTGTAGGTGCCTCAAACACTGTTGAGTCAAACTTTTGAATAGTGTTGTATCCAAATTTGTCTATTCATCAAGTCATCCGATTCCAAAACATGAAATTGAACGAACAAAACTACTAATATAAAAATCTCTTCAGCTTAGACTCTTCAATGTAAAGTGAGGCAAGCTAATATCAATGATACATCATCATCATGAAATAACTGCCTGTGTGGCATGCCCAAGCGTGTTATATGCGTCTACGTGACGCTCGCCACATGCGGCTCTGCCACATGTCAACTCAAGATTCAAACAATCTATTGATAAACAAATCTCTATACTTTAGGCTCTCTAACGTAAAAGCAGGCAAGTTAATATCAATGATATATCATCATATAACTAATTGTGTGGCTTGCCGGAACGTGCTACTCTCGCTTATGTAACCTCTCGCACGTACAAATCTGGCACGTGTGAACTCGAGATTTGATAAAACTATTGATATACAAATTTCTATAGCTTAGGCTCTTCAACGTAAAGTCAGGCAAGTTAATATTGATGATACATCATCATCATGATATAATTGCATGAATGGTCTACTCAAACGTGCTTACCGTGACTATGTGACGTCTTGCACATACAACTTTGTTATTGTGTGAACTCAAGATTTGACCTCACATCACAATGCGTCTAATGCGCACCACGTGTCGGTGTCTTAAGTCATATGTCCGCGTTTATGAAATTGACGTCACAATTGGTGGGATGACGTATCACTGACTTTGATCAGTGTGGTTCCATGAGAGTTATGTGGCACCTGCTACATGATAACGTGATGTACAATGAGAGATCGACGTGAAGTTCGATGAGAGAATGATGTGTCATCCGTGGATCAAAAGAGTTGATCGTGCGCAATGCGTTTGTCTTCCGTGCGATTTGTTTACGCCGCACATGCTTCATTCAAATAACTCATTCTCTATTTCAACTCACTTGATCTGTTCCAATCGTGGAGAACAAGATTTATCACTCGTGCTTGCTACGTTACTATGATATCATCCATAGAGCAAATTTCCAAAAATCTTTTTGAACAACTACACATGTTTCATCCCAAAAACGCATCCTCTATCTGAATTCACTTGATCTACTTTAATTGCGTAAACGAAGATTATCCACTCTTGCTTGCTGCATTACTACGATATTACGTATAGAGTAAATTTTCAAGAGTATCCCCAAATAACCACACATGCTTCATCCAAAAAACGCATTCTCTATCTCAACTCATTTGATATGCTTTAATTGCACAAACGAAGATTATCCACTCGTGTTTGATACGTTACCACGTTATTTTCTATAGATCAAATTTCTAAGAGTATACATGAATAACCACACATGCTTAATCCAAAAAACCCATTCTCTATCTCAACTCACTTGATTTGCTCCAATTGCGCAGACAAACATTAATCACTTGTGCTTGTTGCAACACCACGATATCATACGTAGAAAAAAATTTCAAAAATTTCTCTAAACAACCATACATGCTTCATCCAAAAAATCATTCTTTATCTCAATTCACTTGATTCGCTCGAATTGCGTTGACTAGGATTATCGAGATGTGCTTGCTATGTCACAAGGATATCATCGTAGAGCAAATATCTAAGACTATATCGAAAGTCTAGATTGTACGTTCTAGATATGTCATTCAATTCCAAAACATCTAATTCAACGAACAATGTTACTGATATACAAATCTCTACATCTTAGGCTCTCCAACGTAAAGTTGAGCAATTTTATATCGATGATACATCATCATGATGTCATTGTTAGAACTCTATTTGTTGTCACGAAAGTTTTTGAATGTGTTAATTGTACATGTAAAATCAAGAAACACTCAAGTCAAGCCACCAACGCAAGAGACACGTCGTACAATGTGCTTCATCTTCAAGAGTGCTATGTCCATCAAAAAAGATCATACTGAATATTATTTTAAGTTTCTGAACAAGGTTCTGAATGTATAAGGCAAAAGCCGAGTTATTTAATCATAGTTCACGAAACCGTCCCCTTGGATGAAAGCATATCATTTGCTTTGACGCTCAGTTGCTCCAGTCACCACCCAAGCCGTCGTTCGGTGAAAGGGGTTGGTCCTATCATGCGACGGACTGCGCATCATGTGACCCGATTCAAAATTCACAAATTCTTACGCCTAATAAGGCTAAGATTATTGAACATTTAAATAATCCTAGGGAGTTGTGATCTTCATAGTAAAAAATTATATAAATCATACGTGTGATAAAATAACAAGTTTCATAATTAACCCAAGGCAAAATTTTTGAAATTAATATTTTTTCATTAATTGAATAATTAAATTAAAAATTTGGAAAAAAGTAATTAATTGAATTTAAAATTCTTTTGTATAGATTTGCATAATTTGTTTGAAATATTTTTCAATTTAATTTCAATGACTCTAAGTATCTTGCTAATAACTATAGTTTTAGAATGTTGAATATATTTTCATATATGTATGTGTTAAACATATAGCGATTTTTTTATTATTTAACATCAAATCATTATTGATTTTTTGATATTAAAATATTTGCATGAAACTCTATATGATATACACATTGATTCACATATGAAATTTATATGTGAATCAATGTTGTATATTTTGATTAATATAATTACTAAGTGCGGGTTACATATGTTGGTAATATAAACAAAAAGGTAATATTGTTAGATCAAATCCAAATTGAGACGATACTTTGTGACACTTAATATCATGTATCTACTCATTCATTGGAGTTTCTATAGTACTACTTAGTGCGACAAGTCTACTAACCACGCTAAACATATCATTTATTTGTTCTCGTTGACTATACCAAAAAGTACAAACTCTGTGTACTTTTTGTGTTTTTTATCTTCTTGAGTTGTGCATTTGAGCTCATCAGTCAATATTAGAACGATGCATTGTTTGCAAAGAAGATTTTTGTTCGTCTCGAAAATAAAGTTATGTCTACCGCTAAGGAACTAAAGTTCAAAGTTGATTCAATCTTGTATCGTATCTCGATGTGTGAATTTTTTGTCCTCCTTGTTTCTTCAGTAGACTTTTTCTATGTTTTGTCACTCATCTATCACACTTGTCATTGATTTTTAGTTGCCGTTTTTGCATATTGCATCACACTTTTGTATACATTGTGAAGAAAGCAAATCAGGAATTTGGTGTATGTGTTTTTTGCTTAGTTTCCTCAACCTGTGAAAGATTGTTGTATATTTGCAAAGTGGGAGGAATACCACTTGACTAAACAAAGTTTGTGGAGGTTGATTTTGATCAAAAATTTTAATATGTCAATGAGGAATTGACAAAAGCGTCACGCTTTATATCCGTGTATGAAAGAATACATGACTTGTTATGTGATGTGAGTCCCTCTATAAAAGAAGCTTGGGGTGGAATTTGATTTTGATCTTATGGCTTTGAGGTTTTGAGAAATTACAGGTTTGTGAGACTTTGTGATTAAAATTCTTTTGATTTTGTCAACTACAGTATCGCATTTCACGTTTTGTAGTTCCAGTTGCTACCAATCAATTTAGCTTGGTGTGAAGTAGTATTGGTAGAGAGAAAATACTGAGTAAGAATCAATAGGTTTATTTGATCTAATTAGATCAAGAACGGGATAAAAACCAATAGAATGGATTGAGCACGAAAGATTTGCAAAGATGATGGTCAGATTGGAACTCAATTTTTTCCAACTCATACATAACTCTCACTTCATTGACGTCGTTTTGATCTCAGACGCTCTTATCCGCATTATCTGTCTTTTGTGCTTGCTTGAACGCATTGAGTCAAGACGCATGTTGGCAGTGTACGAGTTTTGATTACTAACATAAACAAGATGAATAGACGATCACCATTAACATCATCATGGTTCTCAACATCAACGACTGCAGAAGCAGTAACAGCCAAGCGTTGCGAGTGCAAACTCAAGCAAGCAGCACTCGCAAGCTTAAGGTACGAGCTCAAGCAATCGGTGTGCAAGCGAGCGTTGCGAGAGCAAACTCAAGCAAGCAGCAGTCGATAGCTTGAACTACGACCTCAAGCAAACGGTGTGCAAACGAGTGCGCGAGGGAAGAATGATAAATGATGATGCGCACTTGAGAGAGGTGGTGCATGTACGCTAGGGTCAGATGAAGATAGAAAGTTGAAAAAACGGGGAGTCGTGACCTTCAAGCTGAATCTCACTTAGGTTTATCTTAGATGGCTATGTGAAAGTTCATCATGGTTTTAGAATTTAAAATAACGTAAACTTGCCCATGGTTCAAACATCATCTCACACAAACTTTTCACATTAACATTTAAAAGCCTATATGAGAATTGATAATCTGAACATCATATATGCTTCACTTGATTTGTTTTCTATAACGCCAATTACGAAGATTATTGACTCATGCTTGCTACGTTACTACGATATTATACTTAGAGCAAATTTCCATGAGGCTTTCGGATGTTTGGATTGAATATTTAGATTCTCAAATTCAAAAGATCTAAAGTAAGGAATGATAGTGCAATTGAAAAGAAGTCTGTTTATATCAATGTGCATATTAGAGATGTTTCACCAATGTTAGGTCATCTTAACTGATGAGGTGACCATGCCAGCTTTTGATAATAGAAGAGAATCATGAAACTAGTAGACCGTACTCTAGCCAAAAAAAGTAATTGTGGTCACATGCCTTACCGAGAGAAGTTTAGCACGTATGTTTATTCAGTTGTATTGAGTAGTGAGTCTAAGATTCCTCGGGTGTTCAAGAAAATGTTACTACATTGGAATCTAAGGTGGATTCTTTCTTTCATGTAGGGCAAACAAAATTAGCTGAAGGGTTATGATGATGTGACTTTCAATGTTTATCAACATTATTTACTTCAATATTTATCGCATGTGTTTCCTGTGGTTAAATCAATCAAGAAATATATATATATGTCAATTAATGCATATGTATTAATTATAAATAGACACATTAAACTTTGCTCAGTATTCTGTGATTGCACTTGGGGTAGATATTTGATGACGGAAGGCACATCCCATGTTTCATGACTTGGGACTTACAAACAATGTGTCATGAATTGCAATTTTGAAATGACAATAAGGTCTTGAAACTTATATTTGAATGGCAAAGGTGTCTTGCATTGTAGATGATTCTTGGCACTTTGGTTGCAATTCAAAGCTGACATACATTCACTATCGACGAATGAGTCGTTTTGAAATGTTGTAATTTGTAGTAGCAAACAATCGATGTATGTAACGATCAGAGTACTCAGGCCAAAAAGATAATATTTGCAAACTGAGCATTCATAAACCCTAATCCCTAAGTTTCCCGGTCACTTGTGAACGTGCCAAGGAAATTTATGGGCACATTAGTGTAAACCTCTCACCAACTTCTATTCCACAAGGATACAGCCAGGTTTTGACAGCCCGGAAACAACGTTCCCCAACTAGTGATTAAAGGATGTACATGTCGTAAACGATCAACCATGAATCATGTTTATCGAGTTCGTGTTATGACAGTAAATAGGTCTTATTGTCACTGTCACGTTCGCTTGTTTCATAGTGAGAGTCCCAACCTATGGAGTGTCAGGTAAGATCCGTGGAAAATAGGTTGGGACTGCTACACTTGTTTCATAGTGCGAGTCCCAACCTTTGAAGTGCCAGGTAAGATCCGTGGAGAATAGGTGGGGACTGCTACACTGTAACTGAATAACAGAAAAAGCACGGTAACAACGCAAGGTCTTCATTTTCCTCAAGAAACTTATGAAGGTTGCACACTTTTAGAATACTCGGTACACTCAGCAATTGACGATGCCAAATCTTTGTCAATTCAGTCGAGATATTCAACCTCTACAGAAATTTGAACATACTTTACACATATACTACTACTTAAGTCTACATGTATACAAGGTAATTAGTGGTCTTTCTTCTGCTTTGACCATATTCCGCGTTTGGACGATGTCAACGTCCTTTGATATGCACTAGAAAAGACCAAAACACTGAATTCTCTCACTACAATAGAGTTATAACCAACATCCGGTAAAATCTCCCAAGAACAGAAGATTCATATTAATCGAGTGTTGAAAATTCTTCCTTTTCAATGTGCCATAGAGAGAATGCTTAATATCTACATTTACTTTACAAAGTCAGAGCGTTACACCGAAATTACTTTTAGTAGCGGGAAATTCATAACAGTATCAATCCTCAAACGTGTGCATCAATGGAAACGTGCACTCCAATGCCAAAGGACTCTTCATCCTAAATCATACTGATAAAGCTGGTCTAGCAACTCTTAGTTGTACAAAACAGACCGTTATCAAGAGTGTAGGATATAAACTGGGGCGGAAGACAATCTTCGGCTTCGCTCTCGACACCGTCCCTTACACTTACCATCTTGATCTTGTCTAAAGTCTAGGCTTGCTCAGGCTTTGTTTCCCGGTAAAGGAAATTCACAGCACCAGAACCTAAGCCTACTGACCTGACTCAGCACTTCCACAATCCTTTGCAAATATGTCGCCTACGGAAAAGTTGAAAGGACGTCACACCTTCCAAATGGACTTTATTTGGTTCGAATTAGCCAGTGACTTCCTCTGTGTAAGTGAGACATCTCACTCAACTCCAACTCCTGACTTGGACAGAAAAACTGAAAGCAATACCTCTCCGTGGTAATAAGGTACGCAAAATCCAATGCCTTGAGAGGAGATTTGAAATGACAGCTGTTCGCCTCTGTGCTGAACTTGCCCTCAGAAAAGAACCACTCACCATGCGGAACCTCTCCAACTACCACACTATTCACTCTGTATTTTGAAAGTCCACAAATCATCTACTTAGATTGCGAAAGATTACATTGCGAAAGCCAGTTTACTAGTCGCTCGATTACATCATGACAAATAACATCAACGGGTGAAGTCTTGCTGCTGAACAGTTCAGCGCTTCACCGAAAGGCAATATCCATGGTGAGAATACGACCAATTCTTACAAGCAGAGTGTTCCATCGATGTTATCTCCTTCTCTGCCCACAGGATCTTCTAGATGAACATCCTGAAAGTAAACGCGTTCATGTTCTCCAGCTGCTGACGAGAACAATTGACAATCAATTCATTGACGTCGGTGGCACGCTAAAGGCATCACATGAAGTCTTCTTCCAGTTCTTGGAGTGATTTTCCTTTAGAAGCAACATCTTTGTTGGAGGTCATTTTCTGTGAAACCATCAACCCTTTGTAGCTTCGAATTTCCGCCTGCCTCTCCTTCTCTAGTCGTTCAATTTCTTCCCGTCTTTTCTGATAATGTCAACACGAACACAGATAACCAGAAGATATCAATGTTAACGACAGATCGATGTGATGCCAAGCTTTTGCGAGCACAGCTTAATATAATTCGTGTCAATAAAAACCTTAGATCTCAAAGTTATACAACCAGTTCAGATTTGCTCCAGCCTGGGGATGGCCCGAGCTACGACTCATGCAGCCAGCAGGGAACTTACCTTGTCTCTTGTTTGAGCCTTTCTTTCTGCCCTCTCTGCTGCATTGTACTGTTCACGCTCAGCTGTATCGACAAAACAAAATAGAAGTTGTTATCGATATACCAGAAACTAATCAGGATCAATTTCTTCTTTATAAGACAAATCCAAGAATACATAGTAAAACATTGAATAAGTAAAAACAGAAGACCATGGGCGTATTATACCTTTTAAATCAGGTGTTCTCTCCACTTTAGTTTTATTCAGCCTGTTCACAATCTCATTTACGCGCTTCTCAACTCTTACTGTTCGCACCTGCTCACAAAACTTCAAATCAGAAAAGATCTCAAGGAGAAACTCCTATCCTCGTGCAGTTCGTTTCTCGTCGCTAAAAGTGAGTTTCTTTTCGTTAGGGTTCACAAGAGGCTATCAAGAGACCAACATCGTGCGACAAAGAGGCATGTAAGGGAGTTAACAATATTTTCAACAGTTTCTACTGATGTATCGGGGTCTTACAAGCTTAGGATTGTGGAATCCAACTTGCCCGACATCCATAGATGGAACCTTCCTCAGGTTGTACCAAGGTGTATATACAACGTCCAGATTATTTATTTTGTTACCTGGTGACAACCATCTAACAACATTAGCGACAGGTGTTCAGACACAAGAAAAGCCAGACCCAATTGATAGTGGAAGCATCTCCTTTATGTATAACCCCTTCCCGGCCTCAATTGATGTTGATGATTTTTCTTTTCAGGTTCATATCTCGTTTTAGTCTCCACAGCCCATCTATAGCGACTTAATGCCATGTCCCTAGAAGCACCGAGCGTAAAATTGTTCCACCACTTGCTTGGGGTGATGAGCTCTTCACATAAACTACAGTTTAAGAGGTGGAAGTTGGTGACGCTGCTATATAAGCAGGAGTACATGGCAAAGTCACCAACTTTCACTGTAAAGATGTTTCAAGAGGGGTATTGAAAAAAGCGAATCAGAATAAAGGGATTGCAAACCTTGAATAGAGTTAGCCTTCACCAACTGAGCACAGTCTTCTAAAAGTTCCGCTGAAATGCCCTCCATTGTCTGCCCTTTTTGCATCCTGAGGTACACATGAGCTGATGACAGCTTGTCGACATGAAACCTGCACGAACAGACACGTCATTTTGTTACAAGATTGCAAGATCGCTTTACTTTCCTCCCGGGTGGATCAAACATATCGCGAAGAACGAAAGCCGAGCCGTAGGGGGGAAAGAAAACAAGAAGTCTAAGCAGAAAGTATGTGCAGGGTAATAAAGAGCTGCTAAAATATATCTGCAATGTTCCGAGTCCAGTCTTCAGTGATTCACGCAACGTCTAGACAAGCCACAAGCCAGCAGTGAAACCTTCTCACCCATTTCGAATTCATCAACAGCAGGTTTATGCAATCCTGACAATACGCCGAGTGAAAACAAGAAGACAATGTCGGCTGGAAAGATTTTGGTTGAATCGACGAACCGGATTGGCCTCAAGGAGACCAAACAAGCTGTATGCAAGCAGGTTCAAGGGATTTAAGTGGAGGCCCCTTCATGAAGAGCCAACCGAAACGCAGCCATAGAAGTGAAACAAATCCAAAATTAATAGTTGAGGACTCTCGGGCAGTGGACGAATAAAAAGAACACGAATTCCAGATCGTTACAGAGTGATAAAGCTATCATCATGAAGACCGAAGGATAAAACACATTCATTGGGTGACGAAATTCCTCTGAGAGGAAGCCAAACTAAAGCGCTCCGACGGCTTGCAAGTTGTACATCGAAGGAAAAGATTACGAGAAACATCCAGAGAGAAACCTTACCAAATATCTTCCGGCAGCCCGTACTTGATGAGATCCTCGTTCTCGTGCTTGTCCAACCCCATGTAGATGACATAATCGCCAGCCTCGGGCCGAGCTTTGAAGTAGTACACCATGGTGACCCGCCCCGACCCTCTGCTCTCCCGACTTTGTCCACAGGGCTCGTCGCTCTCGATTTCTTCCCTACAAATCAATCTTACGGCCAAATCGCAATCAATCACCTAAGCTTGGCACACGGCAACCGCAATCCGCAAGCTCGTGAGACGCCAGCCGGCCTACTATGGAATCGATCTTCGACAGCGGGTGCAAGGAGCAGACAGACGCATTTCGCCTCGTCCTGCTCTGCTGAGGCCGAATCGAGCCGAGCCGAGCGAGCGAGCGAGCGCCTGCTGCTGCAGAGGAACGCGGCGATGGACGATGCCGGGTGCCGGGCCCGGGCCCCGTCTCTTTCCCCGCACAACAGACCGGGCCCGATTCCTCCTGTATCCTCCGTCCCTCCCTTCGCAAGGGCCGTCCGTGGTCGCGGCCGCCCCCGAGGCTCAGCTTTCCCGACTACAGTACAGTCCTCGACTCCTCCGTTCCCCGATCTCCGCTAGATAGTCCTCCCTTCTCCGAAGACTCCCCTGCCCTGCCCTGTCCCGTCCCGTCCCAAGGACCAGCTCGTCCTCCTCGGTCACGCAACCGCGTTCTTCCATCATCTTCCGCTTTGTGGGGACTGTGGCAAATCAGGGCAAGGGGATGGATGCATTTCGCGTCGAAGAATTTGCGGCAGCCGGGCGACCGTACGTTGGCCTCGGCCATGCCCACGCACCGCCTGCTCCTTCTCCTTCTCCGGCCCGGGTCCAAGTCCTGGTCCAGGTCCATGTGAATCTTCTGCCATTTCTTCGCAGGCCTCTTGCATCATATTCGATCGCTTCGGTCAGGGCGTGGCGATTTGATGCTGTGCTGGGAAGCCCACGAGTCAACAGACGCCATGCCCTGCAAATGTAGCTACATGAAAGGTGGAATTACGAACCATATTTTCAGCCCGTCATCATTCGGATACCTCGGCTTGCAAGGTTACGTTTCTGCTACACCAAGTCCAGGAAGTCTTTCCTGGGCACCCAGTATGTTGCGCATTGAGATCCACTGTCGAGGAACGTTTTATTATTTTGCGAAAGTGCATACAAGGACCTGACAGACTCGTGACCCCATACAGAAACTCAAAACATGAAAATTGGGTGAACATCGGTGGCGGAATTGCTGTGACGAGATCACGACTCTCGTCCGCTCCAGAGCTCAGTTCGTGATGGAGAAAACCTTCAACATTCATTTCTTAAACCGCTCCCGTATTCAAGTTCCATTATTCGTATTTTCCTTGCGCTATCACATTTGGGTTTCGTTCCTCGCTTGTCTCTAGATATCGTCCTACCCATTTGTAACCTACGTACGTCTTCACATTTGCGTCTTGAGCCTTGCATGTCAGTACATTTCACGGCATGGACGTCCCGTGAGCTTCATCTGCGCATCATCTATCTGCTGCGCTTGTTGTGGGTATGAAGTGGACTACACTTGACTTTGCTGATATTCGGTTGACTCATCGCTAACAGGTACTTGCGAGTCTGTCAAGTCGATATGAATATGTATGCGGCGGAGAGTTCTTGGGTCTCCAGTTAGCGCCCGCACCGGTACGTAAGCTGCTTTCTAAGTAAGCTCAGGGTCCTTTCCTGTTATTCCACTAGTAGTTGAAAGGATGCATTCTCATCTGGACGACAAAGCACTCCAATGAAAGACCCTATAGTTATCTTCCAGATTGTGTAAGAAACACGAACGCAGAAAACACCGTTCTCTGCTATTGCCCAGTTTCGTGAAGTTTGTAAGATAAGCCCAGCACAATCTTGGCTTCGAGAATAACTTGGTCACTTTTGTGATGATAAAGAATAAGATGATCACTATGGCGAGATGATTTAATGATTTATGCACGTGCTACCAGCCGTAGAGTTCAGCTTGCGCGCAAAGTGACCACATTTGGTATCTTGATACCAAATAATAAAACCAAATATCTTGATATCTAAATTCTTTCAAAATATGGGCTTGTAATGATTACACTATTTAAGAGGCTAAACTTTTTGACGCAATTTCGAACACGTTGTCTGATAGACCCTCCAACTTGGTGATTCTCTCCAATTGTTCCTACATTTTCACAAACATGACGATTAGTCCCGAAACTAGACCAACAATAAAACAAGCACAGCCCGACTTATCGGCAAAGAAGCTATCACATACGCACACACGCACCTTAGCCAGTGCCTGCCTCTCTTCATCAAATCTTCGCCACCTCGAGAAAGCTGAAACCATTCTAGAAGCAACCTGGAAGGGCAGACATTAAAGTTTCACATGTCAGTGTCACAAGGTACGTCACTCCTCGGATACTAATATGATCGGAGTTTCAGTTCACAACAGTCCATACGAAGGACCGACCTACTTTGTACTTAACTAGCTCATCAGAGAGGTAAGTTTCAGAACCCATGAAGAAAAATGACATAGTTTTGTAGAAAACGGTACCTGAGGGTTCAACTTGTCAAGCTGGATGACAACATCTCCTAAAAGTTCGTATCCAGAACCATCTTTGGCATGAAAGTTTACGACAGATGCAAAGAAACCTCCGATCAAGGAATAAACCTGCACCATACACTTGAGAGCTGAATAACGTGAAGGAGTTGTATAACATTGTGATAATCTCATAATGGTGCCATCATTATGCGCTCAGACGAGTCAATTTTGAATGCTTTTGTCCAAAAATGAGCACCTTATTGGGGTTGCAGATGTCAAATGCAGGATGATCCAGCAGATCTCGCACGTTTCTGACATTGCCGGGAATATCAGAAGCCGCTTGTAACGCCAGCCACTTGTTCACCACCTGGATACATTCAAGAATAATTAACGAACAGGCAATTGTCAGGACGGATATTTACGTAACTTTAGACAACAACCGCTTTGACTTCTATTACTTTGAACTTCTGATCCTCATATTGGAAAGCTTCGAAATATACATAAAGTTTCCTCTAGAGTTTTGCCCTGTACTAAGGTGAAAGAAAGAATTTTTTTGCCTGGAAAATCCTAGCAGCAAATTACGTACCAAGGTTTCATGCTTCCATTGGTCGTAAAAGTCCGAGAGGGCTTGAGTACGAGCACTGCCGGAGTTCTGGGCTATAGCAGCCAGAGCTGCAAACTGGTCCGTCATATTGGTTGCAGCCTTATACTCCTGTACGGCTAGCTCAGTTGTCTCTGGTTCGTCCAAAGAAGCAAGATAAACTGCGCTTACACCAAAGTAAGCGCAGTTTGGTGTAAGCTGTTGCACAGTGTTTTCAAACGACCATCTCTTTCAATACAAAGACCAGACACACAGAAACACAACGCTACCACCACAAAGATGTTCATTACCTAAAGCCATATTTTTTAATGATCTTCGGGCCCGGTGCGGGTGGGAAGGGTCATAGGCCTCCGACGATCTGTTCGCCTCCACCTGTTCATTGACAGACATAAGTAAACTTTAATCCTACCGACCTGAGTGGGCAGAGCAGTTGGAAATAACTAGGAAATGGGAGAATAATGAAGTCCCAACTATCATCTACCTAGGAACATTGAGTGTGTTGTAAAATAATGACATAAACCGTACCGCTTGCTTAAGCTCTTTTCGAAGGCTTTGTGCCAACTGCCTCACGACGAACCGACGAGCAGTGTGAATAGCTACCGGGTCAGCAACCTTCATGAGGTCAATAAGCTCGCTTTCACCAGGAAGAGTGATGGCTTTGGTTATGAAGTCCTGCAGCGACCAACATGGAGGAGCAGTGTCACGACATGTTCAGCTGTATCATTAACAACGTTTTAATTCCAGTCGCCGACAAACGTTCTCACCTTGTCCAGAGATTGATCTGTAAGTACAGATCGAAGTCCTTCGACATAAGCTTCATTCAAAGTAAGCTCCTCTCCTCTCTGCACTCGTGAGATCAAGTCCAGTAAAATTTTTCGACCAAGTGTTTGACCTGCTTCCCACCTGAATAGCCAGCGTCAAGTCAACTAAGATGAGTTGTTTCTACCCTTTAAACGTGAAAGATTTCTTCAACTTGCACGTTCTCTCTAAGGACAGTATAATGTACATGAAGAAAAAATACCTATTAAACTCATCCGAGTCGTGCGCTAGCAAGAACAAGAGATCATCATCCGTGACATCCGTGTTTAGTCTCACAGGCGCACTGAAGTTGCGCAACAGTGATGGCACTGGTTTCTCGGTGACGTCTTTGAAGGTAAATTCATGCTCAGCCTTCAAGAAAGAAGCATACATTTTAGTGAATGACTGGACCGGACAACAGAGCGGAACAATTTGACTCGATCAGACACGAAAGAATGAACCCGTAATGTGGAAGCCCATTTGTACACTAACATATAGTATTTCCCAGGCTATAACAAGATGAAAGCACAATGCACCATCATCACCTTTTCAATTCGCAGTACAGCTGTTTTGACAGGGTTCCCGTCAACTTTTAGATCAATCGAAGATTCGCCGTCATACACGAGTGACAAGGGTAAATCTTGTCCACTCGAGTTGAGAAGGCCAACTGCTAGTGGAATCAGCATTGGCTTCTTATCTGGCTGCCCAGCTGTAGGAGGCACTATCTGCCTGTAGATCCCCATCGGCATTCTTATTCAATTAGAATAGAAATGACTTACTTAAAGACCCAAATAGCATGCGGGTGTCCCAAAACCACAAAGATCGTAGCAAGCGCCGACTGACCACATCCACAAACGTTACCTGCACTTGAGAGTGAAAGTGTGGTTTTCAGCATCATATGATGAAGTGACTGTGAGAGTAGGCGTTCCTGCTTGCGAGTACCTGATAAATAAACCAAGCGATAAGGTGGACTTAAAGAAACAGCTGGCCACTGCAACACTAGATAAAGCTTGAACGATCGACCTAGGCAGGTTCTCAAGCGCCAAGCAACAGCATTGTGTTTTGAATAAACATGACCACAAATGATCCGCTTGTCACGTAGGCAGATGACGGTATGATGTGTCCGTGAAGCTAGGAAAAAGGTGCCGAACTTACGACAGTTCATACTGTCTTATGAAGATTAGAACTGTAAACAAGTCGTAGCAACCCACCATAAGGGGAAAGTTGGAATCTTCACATTGTTGGCGTCAAACATGGCAGATAAAAAATCCTCGCAAGTAACGGCTTGTCCGTCATGTCTGCTGAAATATAGGTCCATCCCCTAAATACCACATATAAAGAGATTTGATGTGAGTTTTAAAAACTGACCAGCACTGATCCCAGTAAGCTCCAGGCTTCTTTTCATTTCTTTTATTTTCTGACATTCTGTGGGCGAGGTATAAAAAACCAACTTATCCTCAAAGCTGGTGTATAATTGACAAACTTCTTGAATGAACTTCTTTCCAGAAGGATTTCGTTGGCCACAAAGCTGCCTAACAAACATGTGGGAACGAACTAAGTGGCGCGCAAGGCAGCACACTACTGCACAGTCGGTTGGTTGCATCGGCTCACATTGTTCAAATGGAGTAACACAAGAACCAAGACTTCCTTACGTTTCAAAATCAAACAACCTCACCACTCACCTTCCTGAAGCCTTGTTTCCCTAATAATGTCTGATACATTCGTACAACCTCTGCACCCTGCAATAAGATTTATAAAAAAGAAGTTCAAGACACTTATTCGAACTTATAAAGAAACGCATCCGGTTTTGTTTCATAACTTATTTTCTTTGGACTCTTTGAATGCACAAGAACATTACTTATTTGTCTATATGATTAGTATTTAACGAGCGTGTCGTAGTTTTCAAGCCTAGGCAGGTACGTCCAACCCATGCAGAGGCTACAGTTATCAAACTGAAAAAAGAAAGTCTGCCGGGAACGGAACCAAGTACTCAGTACCTTTTCATAAACCTGAAGGAAATTGCCGAGCCAGCAACGAAAAAGGATCACGCCACATAAAAACGAAGAAGTAAGTATTGGAGCCAAACAAAAATGCAAGACAAGAATAAGCAATTCAACGAGGTCAAGCAAAATTACGTTCAGAAGGATGACATGCTTACCGTGACTGAAACAAGCAGGATCGATAGAACGATATAAGGGGGACGCCAAACGACAATTTGTAGTCAGAATTGAAAGAGAAATCCAATCTTGGCAGAAAGCAAAGTACAGCAGACGAAGAGAAAGCTTATCCTGCGTTGCAATCACAGAGCTCTCATCAGTAGTACAAGCCGAAATATGGAATATCCAAGTCCCTAGCGTGCAACGACGTCGTGAAAGTGACGGTTGAGATGAGTCATTGCAGATTCTTACCAGTGTAGAAATTGTCCATCTTGCAAAACAGATAAAAAAACAAAAACGAAATGTAAGGCCAGGTGAGGCTAAGAGCTCTTGGACACAACAGTAAAAAGAAGTGGATTCAGTTCAACTCATGAGAAGCTAACGTTCTTGGACTCTCTTCAATACAGTTTACCGAAAAGATTTAGATTTGACAATGTTCCCAACTTGCGAAACAGCCACTGTTGAACCAGGAAAAAGGACATAGTGAAATGCATTCACAATTATCGAGAGAAGCTCACCTTGATGTACGAATGCGGACGAACTGGATGAGACATTGGCCCAGCGTCCTACAAAACATTTTCCATACATCTTTGAAACGGTAGAAAAACTTGCGACACAGGAAATCGAAAGATATGATTTCATACTTTCGCAAGCGGGAACATGACATCTGGAACATTTATTCACCTGGGGGAACTGCGAAATCCGCAATCTTATGACATCTGCAATCCTCTTCACTGCTCGACTACCCATGTCCGATGAGAATTCCTGGAAAGCAGTGGCCAGAATCATAGATAAAGTTCTTCTTACAACCTAGCAGAAGACAACGTTAACATCTCTACCTGTCGGAAATCTATCCAAAACTTCTCATCGCACCGTACTTCAAGAATATTACCTGATCTCTGAATACGGTCAGACCTTCCTTGAGACTCAGCTGAAACCAATCTCGACAGGTCACCCTGCGCGGTTCGACTTGCAAACTCAGAAAACACTTTGGAAATGGCTCATCCATGCAAGCAGGATTGATAGTTCAAACAAAAACCAATGCTGATGTTGGATACATGTGTCTACTTCCATCCCAACCGATACTCTAAACGATCTTTTTTCTGTAAAACACACACTACTTCATCGTGCACCGATGAATACTACACTGAGAAAACCAACAATCTCGCGACTGGACTGTGATGTGATTTTGTTGGTAATTATATGATAACTGTTGCTCACCTGTTGCCCGTCCAATTGTGAAAATACTGCGATTACAAGAGAGAATAAGGAATGTCAGGATAAATCGATGGACAATAGCGAGGTCATAAAGAAAACGACAAGATGAGTGAGAGGAGTGCAACGGACATATAGTCCAATTGGGAAATAAAGTTGACAAACCTCATGTCCAATAACACCTTCGATAGATGCATAATCAGAATCTGTTGCAGTCTCGGGTGAAGCCAGAACAAGCTTTGAGTTGAAAATCTGAATCGCATAATTATGTCAGACTTGCAGCTTCACCTACTTGAAAGACCTGGCCGACCAAAATATACTCCGTAACAATAGGGCGTTACAAAAAAACGGGAACTAATCACACATTTACAATAGCCGTCAACAATGAAGCTACAGAAAACAATGAAGACAAAAAATAACTTTACATTTAAGCTCTTGTTCTCCATGGCTCCCCTGTTCAAAGGACAATGCAAGCAAATTCAGGACAATGCAACAATCAGGACCTCATCCTACCCGCACCCTGATTTCAAACTTAAAAAACAAAAATCAACGTTTAGAAAAGACAGGATTACAGTAATCTGCAACTAGAGGATTACGTCTGATACAAAACTTGTGTCGAGAAATCAGGTACAGAGGCGAAACCAAGTCTCATGACAAGAACCTCTCTGCCTGGGGAACATGTGCTAGTAAGAAGAGAAGAAGTACATGTTAAAGTCGGGAACTGCCACGATGTTGAACAGGTCCAAATCGTATTCCAACCCATACACCTGCCGAGCCAATCAAAATATCAGACCAAACAAATCGAGATACACAGCTAGGTTACACAAAGTAAGAGGCTGAGCAAAAGATAATGATTTACACGTCATTGAATTGAGCTGTAAAATAAAGCTGGAACTTTATAGTAGAAGATATACTCCGAAACATATAGGGAACTTACATCCTCATCCCACTTCATCGCCGCCTGCAAAGATGTCATGGCATGTGCTGTCTTGGAAATATCACCTGCAGGAGTATAGATTCGGAGGACGACCTCACGACCTGACATTGTCGTGAATGTATCATCTCGTGATACCAACTGACCAGCAACAAGAGCGAAGAGGTAGGAAGGCTTCTTAAATGGATCCTCCCAGACAGCATAGTGCCTGCCATCCTGCCACCCGATTCAAGCCGATCACTCCAAGAGGATTAGCTAAGGCTTGGTGTTTAGTGGACGTGTATAGTTTGGTCCTTACTGAGAAATAAAGAATCGACGAAACTACTTGATGATTATATCATCGATAGTTAGCCAACTCAGGTCTCCTTCGAGAAGAAGGTAACTCCTTCACGAAACGGAAGTGATTTGCATAAAAATCGAGGAGCAGGATAGAGGGAGAGAACCGATAGGTCACTTACTTCAAGACCACCCTGGTCAATAAGATTGCCATTCGACAGCAACACAGGATACAGCTCTTTGTTTGCCTCAATCCTTGTGGTGAATTTTGCCATAACGTCGGGCCGATCCTGCATAAATTATACAGCTTGACTTAGGAGATACTTACGAAGCACGACAACGACACAAAGCAAGTGAACGTGTTTCGATTTCTTCTCTCGATATCTCCACGTCCAACCTAATTAAAATACACCTATCACACCGACTCTCTACTTAAATCAAATTCACTAGAAGAATGTATTTATAGAGACCGAGAGTCGTTCTTTGGGGTGCAAAACACGGAATAAGAACCTGGTAGTAGGTTATTTTCCTGAAACCTTCAGCTTCGCATTGAGTACAGAACATGCCCGTGGATTTATAAAGACCCTGTTGAGAAGAATGTTAGATCTAAATAGTAAATCAAACGTGAGATTGAAACTTTAAAGGTGCAAGTGAAGACATCCACAATTCATATATAACAGACTATGGAGATTTCTACACGGCTGCACCTCAATGTAGAATTATTTCACCTCAAGAGATGTATTATTTTGTGGTTGAATTTCTGTTGATATCTCTAGGACGAACGGAGTTGATGGCGGACTTGTCAAAACAAGCTTGCGGTTCACTATCTCAAATTCTCCGATCTGAAACCCAACAAAATAATGAGTACAAATGAACGAACAGAAGCCAAGAAAAAAAGGTTGACTAATATCAAGTGCTCTGAATCAGGCTCAACTATAAGCAGTTCAACCATTCTCAGACATATCAAGAAAAGAGGGGAAAAATACCTCAAGCTGTCTGTCATCAATTTTAATGTGCAAGAGTTTCAAATCCTCACCATCCAGCGTCAAAGGGGCTTTAGCCGCTGTTACAGTCATCCACGTATGCAAAGTTTAGCCTCGATAAACCGTTAAGCCTAGCTCAGGCCCTAAGAACGGTGACATCCCCAATATACCATCCTTATGTTACACACATCTCGAATACAATAAGGGCATCAGGAGTCCTTAGACAAAAACCAGCAGTCGATGGGATTGTGCTTCGTTGAACGAGGCATGGTAAAAGCTTGAACGGAAACTTGGAGAACGACTACAGCATTTCGGAAGGGGTACGAAGCAGAATCAGGTTGCTGTCAATATCCAACGCATGGACGTTCACGTTCTAACAAAGACCATATATCTTACCATTTGAGCTTGGTAAGACTTTGATGGTTGAGAGCACAGTTGTTGTCTGCTCTCCAAGTATAAAAGTAAGGTGCACCTGCAACGACAAGATACTATTTTAGCCAACAAAATCAAGATGTGTCTCCAAACAAATCTCAAACTAATATGGATTACTTATAAGGTCGACTGGCTTCCAGAAACACAAAATTCAAGCATTCAAGATATGGCCATGGAACGCACTTCATCGAAAAGAAAAGCAGGAGCCTTGTAGTTCTTCAAGAAAATCTCCTTGGGAGCTTCCTTCATTGTGACTGCTTCACTTAAGGCGGGTTGTGATGGGCTTGCGGTGGTGCAGCGTACAATCCCACTAAGATGCCTCCGTCCCTGCAACAACGTGATAATCGGACGAAACATAGGTCAGGATACATCGAGACGATTAACTACACTGACCTCTTCAAATCTCGCCGGTCAATTAGCCTCGCGTGACTTTAATGATTTTTGTTTTTTTTACTAGATCCAGGTCAATCAGCTGGCTTAGAGCTGAAAGAAAATATGTATCTATGAAGATCAAATACAAAGATAAATGTAATGAGAAATTACTGTTGAGGAACGCAACTGTCCACTTGCGTGGCGCACCACTCCTCGGAGCTGTTGATTCATGAATAAAACAATTAGTGGTTTCAAATCCAAATTGAAGTCTCCATCAACTTAATCAATCTGATTTGAGATCGAATCTTAGTAGCAAACAGCTGTTTCGCTACTCATTTCCAAAATATGTAGGAGTTGATAAAAACATAAATAAACTATACTACTGAAGGCTAATCAACAACACTGCTGAAAGTTGCTCATTGCTCCACACTAGTTAAAAGAAAATGCTGAAAAGCCCTTGACAAGATTAATGAAAGAATGTTGTTAAAAGTATCAAATTTTATCAACAACACAACTGGAGAACATCGAAGTGTCCATGAAAATCCCACGAAGACCTGACTATACAGTGAGTAGTGGATACACGCACATGAAGATTAGGAAAGAGCCTCCTTCTCACAAACTGCCCGGACAACGCCGCTGGTTGAGATTGCCTCTGCGAGACAGCAGTGTTAAGGAGATGTAAATTGGTACGTTCGAGCGTGCGATGTTTACAATTCAGCGTTGAATGATTTGGTCAAAAGATTAGCATTTCGACAAATGTACTTCCGTTCAACAACCCCATGAGTCCGGAGGTGGACGGCTTCCAGATTACTGAGTTAGGTTCTAATAACTTGATCAGCCAGCTCCTGGCAGACGTGAAGCTAGCCGAATGTTGGTCTCTAAGAACTGAATTATCTGATACGTGGATACTTTTCACGGTTTCGTATCGGTGATGGGGTGGTGCTCAGTATACAGTTCCGGAATGTTCTTTATTTCAAACAACTCCGCTGTGCACCCAAGTCAAGGATAGTGACAACTTCAGGAATAAAATTTTGCTTGAGTCCATGTTTTACTGGTGAAGACAGTTGCTGAGTGGAACGGATGATCGAGTCCAGAGTGGACAGATTGAGGGCCGGCTCGAAACACTACACAGACCAGAAATCCGAAAAACCAAACAAGCCAACTGTAAGCACGTAAACGCAGGGAATGCCGCTCGGTCATGCCACAGGAAGATAAGAGGCGTTCAATTACAATTCCCGTAGGCAAGCTGGAGATGACGGTAGAAGGAAGGCGAAAGCGGGTGCCGAGAGAGATCGCCAAGGCCCAGCCGACCACAGGCCGCTGGCAACAAGGCATAGCCGTCATGAATTTAGCGGGCTGCGACGTGCAAACACGGCAACAACGACTAACCTCCCTCCTCCCTTCCCAGAATTTTCTGCCCTACTTTCACGTTGCCCTCTACGATGACTCCCGATCCTTCAACTGTGCTCTAGTCTCGATGGGCCCCCTCCTCTCACGGACATGCGCACGGAAGGACCAAGGAACTCTTCGAGCAAGACAATCAGTTCGGTGCCAAGCGGGTCGAGAACGAGGTGGATTATTACTTTTTGCCCAGACGTCACGAGGACGGATTTGGCAGGCCGAAAATGCTCCTCGTCTCGCGAAACCTGATCTCTTTCTCTCACTGCCTTGCGATCGCGAGGCCGCACTCGCTCCGCCAAGTTGCTCTCGCCTCAGTTTTTAGAATCACTCTGTGGCCCGGATCAGTCCCTCACTGTCCCGGGCTTGGCCCGATGCTCGGTGGTCTTTGCCCTCTCTCTCGCTCCCCTCGTCCTTTCCCTTTCCTGCCCGTCCCGGCCCCAGCACGTCCACCTCTGCCACATGCGGTATGCGCCATAGAGCACGCACTGTCCTTGGGACGACGCAGTTCGGTGACTGGGAACGCCCAGCTCCTTCAGCTCTGTGCTTTGTGCTTCCCGATTCCCGATTGATTGACGCATTATTGCGTTGCCACAGGTCGAATTCCCATGCCGGCAAATATCTTCATCCCACATTTTTTGTCCAGATATGGATATATCATGCTTTGTCATATTATATATATATATATATATATATGAACACGTGTGTTGTATTAGATGTGATAAGTAGTGTATATGCTTGGCATTATAACGCACTTTGATCTCTATATCTTCATGACGAAAATAATTTAGCATATATGCATTGCATTATAACTTATTTTGACTGCAAATCATCATGAGAAAGATAAGTTTGATCGATGTGATAATTGTTAGGCCTCTCGTTATCTAGCACCTGCATTGAGTTTCTGCGCGTAGAGGACACCCGAGGCTTGGTTGCGTACATAGTTCTTTCATTCTTTTACGAACCCGAGGTTGTTTTTCCTTGTTGGCTGGCTTTTATTTATTTTACTTGGTCGATGTGGTTGCGTACCTTCAATCCGAGCATCATCCTTCGACTTTTCGTTTATTTGATGCATTTGGACTACTTCTTGACTGTTTCTCTGCTCTTCATTTAGAAAACAATTTTAAAAATAAAGATCTAATTGCTAGAATTTCAAGTCATGGATGGATTGTTAGAGGTGAAAAGAGATGAGGAGGTAGATCGCACTGCAAAGATTATTACTTGAAGATTATCCAAATTTTGATTTAAACAAAAATTGTGCAAATAATTAATCTCTTTAGAATTTATTCATGATTATAATAAAAACTTGAACCACACTGCAGGACTAAAGAGTTTGAAAAATGCAAAATTGTATTCTCTGGTTATCAAGTTTTAGTTTATTATTTTATTTTTTAAGATTACAATAATGATTATATTTTTCTTTATATAGATCTTACCAACAAATAAAAAATATATAATATCTCATATTCACTATTCATTTCACTTCTAGTGAATCGATGATATGGAAAATAATACTAACAAACACATGGATTACTTATGTGTCATTTTCAAATAACAATAAATATTCTACCAACCAAACACACAGATCTTTGACACGACGATTACAAATTAAATAATCTAAAAAATAATATATTCAAAAATATACAAAAACGAGACAAACAAATCTTTATTTCAAAACAATGACGAGAAAAGATTGCACAATGGATATCAAAATTTGATCTAAGTTTTTATTTTACATCAAAATAATTCTACAAGTAAAATTGTTGCATTAAACATAACAAATTCATAAACCACATGACCAAGAAGCAAAATATGAACAACACTTCTATCAACATTTGCACCCAACCAAACAAAGTATTGAAAATGTAATATTTAGGTAAAGAATTAGATTATAACAAAGAAAGATGTTATTACTTTAAAAGAAAAAATCATTTTGTTAGGTATACAACATTGGATCAATCACTTATGTGTTGTGCATGTGTTTAGTATGTTGAATCAGTGTCAAATTTTATATTTTTTACAGTAAAGTTTGTAATTTATTGGATGAATATGAAAGATATGACTTATAGATGATGTATACAAAATCTAAACATCAATATCTTACTTTGAATTTGAATGGATATGTCTGATATGAGTATTAGTTGATGTGTTCAAAATTTAAACATTGTTGTTTTACTTTGAAGGTCAAGTACAATGAGAAGTAATTCTGAAAAGCAATAAAATTATTTTTAAATCTACTCAGGATGTAAATTGCTCAAATCATGTGTGACTGACTAATTTATTTAATTTTTTCATTTAAACATCACAAATATAACTGACATAAAAACAACATGGAAACAATTCCATAACCTGTTCTAGTAATTTTGATTTAAATCTATATATTAATGGAACAAATATTGTGTAACAGAAAATATTACGATTTGAAATATCCTGAAATGAAATGAAAAGATACATAACACTACAAGTATGATAGTCACAAAATTTGCAATTTGTATCTATGACTGATATATAACTCATGAGTTCGCACATAAGTTTCACAAATTCATTTTTGTGCAAAAATATGCGACAAAAATGTTATGTGCAAAATTGTAATAAAAGCTTTATTATTAACAATTTGGTTTCATTGAAGTTTTGGTTATCCATATCATCTATATAGAAGTTAAATAAATAAATAAAATATGTTAGATCCAAAAAACCAATCATAAAAAAATGTAATTTTGCGTTTTTTATTTTTTTGAAATTCGATCATAACTATTTTTAATTTACATAAACATTTATATTTTAATAAAAATGAATTAATCTATTATAAAAAATTAATTACAGTGGAAAGAAGTTAAATAAATCATAAATTTGGCTTGAACATATATTTTAAGCTTAATGTATTTATTTTCATGAATTTGATAATTTTGATTTTTTCAGAATATTAAAAAATATTATTCATTGAAAAACTATATTGTAATAAAATAATGTCGATATGTCAAAATCAGTTCATAAGTCAGAATTTTGAATGTTTGATACCAATAATAAATGTCAAAGCTAAATGTTTAAATCTTCAATAATAATCATTGCTCTTCAAATATTATTTCATTATTTCTTCTTATTTCTTGCGTCATGAGTTCTTACAACACAATGGGTGATCTATCAATAACTAACATGCAATGTTAATTGCAATGTAGATTATTATTTCTGAATATGATTTGATGCAATGATAAATATAGCTCAAGTTAGTAATAAATGGAAACAAATTATATCTAATTTAAAATTTGAACTTAGGGGTAATTTTCAAATAATTTTATCATACAAAATGTAAATAATTTGTAATGCTTTAGAACAAAAAACCATGTCAATATAATATATGAGAAGTTCAATTTCCTAAATCTAATGTGCTGTGCTCTCATTTTTTAACACATCAAAGATTGTTTAATGTCAACATGAGGCCAGGTTTAAAAAAAACTACAAATGAAACAAGCATACATCTACATTCCTTTATGCATTGTATTGTCTTTTGAATTTAATTTTAATATTCATTGTCCATACTTTGATATGAAAAATAAATTATTATTTTTTATAAAAAATTGAAAACTTTAATGCATTTCGAATTTGAATAAAATGTAAGTAAACATTCTGAGATTTGTGAAAAACTTTCAGTCTTTCTGTTATTAATGATTATAATGCTTACAACATGAAAACACCGTTATATATATATATATATATATGAACATTTTTTGTGTCAATCTATGTTTTTTTTTAAATATACATCAAATTTGCATTTGGCTGTTGAATACAATTTTGACAATTTACAATGATTGATTATTTGTTGGTATTTTAGAAAAAAATAACTTTATTAAATATAAAACATATTGACATGCGGAAAATTCAAATCATAAATTTAGTTTTAAATAATATGCTTCTATCAGAATGGAGGTTTGAAATATACCCATAAGATAAATCATCAATTTATACATGCATTATTGTCACAAATACAATCAATTACAGTCATCTCATCCCTTAAAATATAATGGTGTTACGACATGATGTCAATACATGAAAACTGTCATTTAATAAAAAACACATTTTTCCATGTTATACTAAAAATTGGGATATTACAAATATTTTTCTTTAATTCATTCAATTTGGATGTGTATTAAACCAAACATATACTGTCATTGGTATTTTCTTGTAACTTTTGTGTCCAGATGCTTAGATTTTTTAATTTTTTCTGGATATTTTTTTTACTGGAAAATTAATGACAATGATGATAATTTGGGATTAAATTTTTTTATATTGATTTTCATGGTCGCTTATACTCAGTTATGTTGAAATTATAATTTCGACTATCATTTTTTATAGTATGGCCGGATTATATATTTTTAGTATTTTTTAATTGAATATTTAATTATGTTTAAAAAATATTTAAAAGATTAAAACAAGATTTAAAAGAATATGATTTAATATTCATTTATAATGATAAATATTAAAATAAATTCATAATATCATATAGAAGTTTTATTTTAGTTTTGTGAAATTTCAGAAATGTTTAGATCAATCATCCAAAATGTTTGATTTAAAATTTGTCCAGAATTATCAATTTCGAATCAATTGAATAAATCTGTGTGCAATTTATGAGATAAATTTATTCTTTATAATGAAAATGGCATAATTGTATTGCATGTAAAAAATTCAATATAAGCAATTTGGATCTTATTATTTAATAGATTGAATAAAATATGCTTAATTGTTATAAAAGAACGTGATTTGAACAGTTATTTTGACCCGATTTATCACAAAATCCTTTCTATACCGGATGGTTTGTAACTTTCTGCATATCTACAGGTAAACTAGAAAACATCTTTTAATAGGTTTGTCTAAACGCCTTTGTTCTACCTTCTTGCTTTCAAATTTTAAACTCCGTTTACATTTATAATTTCGAATACTAGGAATGTTTAAGATTGTTTTGTTGATTTAGAGATTACTTCTTGACTGATCCAATCTTTTTCATGTTTTTAAATCTTTGGACTCTTGCAGGAAATTTAGCAATCTTTCAAGAGTCAAGGTAGAGATGATTAGTATGAAACTAAAGTTGAAAACCTTATATGGAGAAAACATCGATACTCGATGAGAGACTAAAGTTATTTCAAACTTGGTTTGAGAAGAGCTTATCAATATCATGATTCCCCATGTCTACATCTGATAGTTTTGAAGTGATGATTTTTCATCATCATGGATGGATGTCAAGTGAAACGAAATTAATCAAGGTCTCAAAGTATAGTAATATTTCAAATATCACCTCTTATGTACGTAAGCTTTTGACTTACATGGACATGGAGTGCCGAGTACACACTTTCGTGTAAGATGTTACCAGCGACATGGTTATCACTTTATTCAATCTATTTGAGCCTCATATATATGATTCTTTACAAGAACAATCAATGATGAAATACATAGGAGGGGTATCACACCATGTGATGATTTTTTTTAGATGCTGAATTAACATCTAGAACTTAAACCAGGATGGATGTATAGAGTACCATATGATGCCTAGACATGTTACATTGTGATGCTATAAGAATTTAGTTTCATTTTTTAGGGCTCGATGGTGTATTGCCATCTATTTTTTGCATGTTCTTGGGCATTATTTTATTACTGCATTTCTCACATTTTGATCATATGGAGGCAAGCCGCATCCAACATCTTTGGTTTCTGCCATGCAAGACATGCAGGCTCTTCGTATACATTTCGTTATGTGTTTGCCAACCGACAAAACGGAAATAATGTACACGAATCACTGTAATTAAAAACTCAGAAGTCTTGGGATTTCATTTTCATTTTCAATTTCAGTCGCCAGTTCGGCCAAGAGGAAGGAGGAAAATGCACTGTTGACGCGCTGGCTAGTATGACGAGTTTGCGTCATCGTGGTTCTAGAAACGTCCAGTATGAGAGAAATGACGATGACCAAGTTGGGAAGAGCACACAGTGCCGCACAAGCCGAGCAGATGATGCTCAGTGTGGTGTATATTGTACGCTACCCGGGACTGCGCAGTGAAGGAATCCATGCATGGTGGGACTCCAAGGGCATCCGTGCTGGGCACAGGAACTCGGGGCTCGAAGGAGAGAGAAGAAGCAGGGAGGGAACAGCGGAGGCAGCAGTGGGTGCGAGCTACGTGGGATAATATAGTAGTGACGAGGATAAGTTGGGAGTGGCCTTCGAAGGTCAGAGTCCTCGAGGTCATGCACATGAATCTTTCTGTGGATTCTTGACAGGGTGGACGCGGCCAGTCTTCCTCGCAGGTGTCAAGCCCTGACGTTTTTTAGAAGTTTTGTCTGAAACCCTCGAAAGCCAATCGAGGCCTGATCAGTCATCCGACCTTGTATGGGCTGTTCATGGGCGCTTTCATCCCCAGGTCCCACCTCGTCTGCTCTGCTCTCCTCTCCTCTCCCGATGCTGTGTTCCATGGACTCATCCAGTCCGACGCAGACCACTGTGCTGCACTGGAATCCGGAGCAGGTTTCCAGGGAATTAAAGTCCAGTGCAAGGATTTGGGTGGATGTGTAGTCAGCGGAGGCGGCAGAGAGCGTGAGAGGAAGAAACTCGTAGGTGGGCCGAATTGAGTACGCAGTGATTGGGACCCAGGCATTTGAAGGGTCTTACTGCTGAAGGTTTCTATTGCAGTCTCAAGAAAAATTGAGTTGGGTTTGGGTTTCATGGCCGAAGGAGAGGGCACTTGTTTTAGGAGCTGGACTAGATAGGCGTCCGACGAGAATCGGGAAGGGCTGAAGATTTGAAGTTAGGAGCTTACCTGGAGTAGATGGCAGCTTATCAGCTGGCGTTGATCGTGAGAAATCATAATGTGGAAAATTTTGAGTTTCTCGTGACTAGACAGAGGAGGCCCTCGGAACAAAAGTTCGAAGGGTTGCCCTATATAGACAAGGAGTTATGGGATCTACCCTCAGCTCGTCTTTCTCGCATAGATGAGAGTGGTTTGATCATGTCACCAATTTCCGAAGACAATGAGGGATCCGTCAGTCTCGGGAAAAGTGTGTCAAGCTCCATGCAGAAGTTGGGGCTTAAAGGCTTTGACGTCGTCGATGCCATTTCTCAGGTACGGAGAAAGTACTAGTCGTTAGTACAAATATCAGTGTGAACTTTGTCCTTCTGCAAGACTGAAGGTATATCGTTCCAAACTTGTAGATGCTTGAGCAAAACTCCTTGGAAAGAAGTGGATCAGTTTGTTGTGGGATGTAAGTAACGTTCGAAGTTGTCGGTGTAAGTCCGAGTCATGTAATGTCAACAAGGTAGATTGTTTTTCTGCACTAAATTGACAAGCTTCTTTGATAGATACAAATTTTATTGCTCCATGTGAAAGCTTCATCTTATTTTTCACGTGATCGCTTTCTCAACAGATCCAGGCCCAAGTCGCTCCTCCTGGTGTACACATGACACCCTGGAGATATTGGAAGTTGGTGGAAGAATCCGAATATGGACCTGGACCTCCTCTCCACACTGTAATATTTATGACTGACTTTTTCATCGACAAATCCGAAGTTCCAGGTCGTGTCTCTCGCCTTGTTGTAGTATGCTTTCTCGGTTCCATTTTTACATCAGCTTGCGTCCTTAGAATCCAAATTCTCTTAAACAAAGAGAATTTGATTGTTGATGGTAATTTATGTGGATATTGGCTTTGGCAGCTCAAAACCGAAGTCGCAAGGCCGTAAATTAAAGGTTGTGATGTCATACCGACAGAAGCTGTCGGACAAAAATGACTTGATTTTGACCAAGAATGCTATTTGTCGATGTATACGCTATTTAACGATTGGTCTTACACATATCTTATGAATCTTATAACTCTCATGAACCTAATCAAGCTGAAAACTTGAACAAATGTGCAAGAGTACCGTGTTGTGATGGTAGACATCTAGAGACTAATGTCGGTTTCTTATGTGAAGCAACGGTTGAAACCGAAATTTATCGCTACCTCTACTCAGGTTTCTGTATCTCCCGCAGGAGTAAAATGTCGAACAAACACCTAACTTTCATTCCCCTTTTGATGCAGGCGGAGGAGAGTGGTTGGATTCTCAAACCACAATGGACGTGCTGATCCAGTGGGGAGCTCACAGCAGGCGAATTGGACCTTTGGCTGCTCTCGCAGCTTCTACTCATGTTCCAGATGGCTTAGTTGCAAATTTTGAAAGTATACATGGCCAGGTAATGGGGTTGTGTTTGAAGGTGCTATAACAGTTGAAGGCGAGTAGAGGTTTGTGGATTTGTCATGCCACTGCTGACCCGGACTGAGTGTCTCTAATTTAAACCTACCAATTTTGTGAACAGGAGTACCCTCCTGGTATTGTTGTGCTGCCGATGAGATCGATTATTCCCAAGCCTTTCGGAAAAACGAACCTTGTTATACTCTCCCCTTCAAACTTGTCTGGCCAATGCGGGGAAACACTTTCAAACCATGCTGCAACAGGTGATGTAATGATTTGTGATCCAGGGTGTATTGGTGCCGCTCAAGCCGAGGTAAGCCAACCGTTGAGACGAAGGTTTTCAACGTCCTTTCGGTTCTTGCTTTTGAAGGAAGGCTGCAGGGAAGCAGCTTATTTTTGGGGGAAGGAATGCTATGTGAAGGGGAGTAAATGAAAATTGTACTTTGCTGTGTGTGCTCATATCTCTAAGTATGCGTCCATTGGTGCAGAGCAGTTGGCACATATCGTCAAATCGCTTCCCAGGAAGCTTCTTGTGTTTTTGACTCACCACCATTATGATCATATCGATGGTATGTGGTTAGTATTTTTGAATTTGACATTGGAAATTGTGTTACAGTTTTCCGAATTTGGTGGTGAACGAAAAAAGTGTTTTCTCTTAGTACTGCTTATTGCATTATTTGATGAACCTGAGTTGTAGCTACGCTTATGACTGTCGTTTGTGTAGGCTTACCTGTTGTGCGCAAGAACAACTCGGAAGCTGTGCTGGTGGCCAGCGAAGCCACGTTCAGACGGATGGGCAAAGGTTAGTACTCTACGTATATCCTCAGTGTTTTGACACTTCCTGACCTTCGTTGTTCCATTCAGTTCTCTCTCAGCGCTCTCTGTAGACCTTTGTAGTTTCACAACATCTCTGGTCTCAGTGAGGCGTAGGCCAAGATCATCACCTTTGAACGTTGTCAATCTCTTTCGTCAGTCATGGTTTTGCGGTTTGTTGGTTGTTTTGGGACAAATTTATGGTCGTCATCAGCATTTACTACTCTTTTGCAATTTTGCTTCTATCTGAGGGCGTATATGGTTTGCAGCCACCAAAGGTTTTAACTGCATAACCGTCGAGGGAGGGTCAAAAGTGTTGATATCTGGACATGAACTCGAGATTATATCAGCACCGGTAAGATATTCAGTTCACTGATGTCTCAGTTTTTTCACACGAACATCTAGACTTATGTTAACTCATCTTCTGAATCGGATACTTTGTTTGACAACTGTCATCTGTTACAGATATTCATCAATCTTTCTCACTGTGGCAGGGTCATACTGACGGTCATTTGGCCATATATGATTCAGCGACTGGAACTCTTGTGGTCGGTGATCATTGTTTGGGGTGAGAATTTGAATTTGATTTCCTTTTCTATTTTGTTAGCTCTCTCTCGTTTTATCTTTTTCTGCCTAGTACTCGTGACAAGAGAATGACTGGAGGTCGATAAGCACTCGCTCTTATTTATGCCTTGTTTTGTTAAGTCCGGTTCTATTGTCTTCGACGAAGCGTGTCATCTGAACACCGCTCGGATGAACTGGAGCGTCCTAGTATTTGTGGGTCAAGGGTTACAGTCAAACTCCATAGCAGCGTAACGGTGCCGCTCACATTTGATCTTAGTTGCAAACGCGTCGTCCAACTTTATTCGTTATCGTAACTTACATGTTAGGAGCCTTCTTTCTATGTGCAGGCAGGGAAGCTCTTTGTTAGATCCTTCGTCGGGTGGCAATCTTCAGGTAGCGATTTGTGTAAACTTCGTGAACGCATCGTGGATGTTTCGACCAAGCATGTTGTCAAGAAGCCTCCGAGTATAACTGATTGTTTTCCATTCTGTTGACAGGACTATCTGCTAACAACTCGAAGACTTCTCGACCTCGGGCCTCATTATCTTGTGCCCATGCATGGACGACCAAACTTGTGGCCTGCACACATGCTCTGCGGATATATAAAGTAAGTCGTGGTTTTTCTTCGGAGTGCCCAAATTGGGCCGCATATAGAACATGTAAATGATTTGTTTTCCTACGCGGTGCGACAGAGTAAAAGTCAGGCATTTCCACCCCGTTCGAGGGTCTGTAGTCAAAATATGGTTTTGTTAGCTTTGAGTCTCACAATCTCATTTTTGAAGGAGATAGCGGTTGACTTCCTTCCTTATATCTAGCCAAGCGCACTCTTGGATCCTTGCGTGCTGTGTGAAAACGAGTATATCTTATACCACAAGTGTATTCACTTCTTTTGAATGTGACTTTCCTCAGACACCGGGAAGCTAGAGAGGCAAAAATATTGAAAGCTATTCAAGGTGGCGCAAGAACAGCTTACGAGATTACATCTACTGCTTACGCCGACACACCAGCAAGCTTATGGCCTCAAGCTTTGAATAATGTTATCTTGCACGTGGAGCATTTGAATGACAATAAAAAACTGCCGAAGGTGCAACACTAATGAGTCTAATTTCCGCTGTCGAACTCGCAAAGCCAATTTTCATGAGCTTCATTGCTTCATATAAGTATACCTCATACATAATTTTGTCTAAGCATAGAGTTTTGGAGAGAAAGCGTTCCAGGTATGATGATGCACCGTAGAATGAAAGGAAAGTGTCTGTATTGCCTCAAAAGTAGTGTAAATCGCAGTCTCAGGGAAGAACAATCAGGACGCCGATGCAAGCTACTTTTAGCAATGGGTAAATTATGTATATAAAATATAGGTTGTGAATAAATATATGATGAGCTTGTTGTTATGGCTGCGCAGGACTTTTCTCTGGAGAATTTCGAGCGGAGTAGCAGGAGTCCATTTTTGCTCAAATGTCTCCCTGCTGTTACGAAGTACGTTCTTTGGGCGCCATGGGTGCACTTTACGTCCAGCTCGATGTCCACTGTAATTTCAAGAGTCTCAGTTGCTGTGCTGCTCGGAGCGGTTGCATTGTACTGGGCTAAAAGGAAACTTTAAGAGAAGACTAGATGGGTTCTAGGCAAATGCTTTGGTAATGTGCAGAGTTTTGCGCTAATCTCTTCAGATCTATAAAGGGAGAATTTCTAGATTATGTAGAACTTGGTGATAACCTGTGGATTATATGCGATTCCCGGATCAGGTGAAGCGTGGTCTGGCACAGGGGGTCTAGCCGAGCACGCTAACTACCTCTGGTCCAGTTGACGCAGAGATTTCCGAGTCAGCATTGACGTGTACATAAAGCTTTGAATCTCACAGATATAAGGAGCTGTAAACTAGAACAGTAAGGAGAAAGATGCACGTTTTCAAGGTGTTCCAAGCCTTGAGAGCTGTTCAAATTTCTGAGTATCTTATGCCCTCTAGTCACCACATGGATGTATGCAGTGGGCCAACTTTGTAACTTCAATAAATGTGAAGGTCTGAAGATGATGTGCGTCTTGTGCTGCTGTATTATTTGCTTCTTGACACACCTCATTCGTTACATTGGGTCCTCTTTGGATTGAGTGGTACTCGTGGCAAGGAGATAACTATTTAATGCGAACCCATCGGAATATAAGTAGCGTACTGGACCCATCACGTGTAGTTTCACCCGATGGGACCCACCGAAGGCACACCGTCTCCAAGTTCTAAAAATTGTTCTTGTAAGTACATGTTGCAGGCTATAGTGAGGAAGTGATCGCATGGAAGTTTCAACTGCGAGTATTCACGGTGAATGGCTCGGTCTCCAATTGGTACGGGTTGTACGTTGGACTGAGCTAGTGATGGGTCTTTAAGTCATAGATTGAGACCTCTATAGCAGATGTATGTAGCCATGTTTGACTTCAACCTTCGTCAGTATTTCTTCGACCCATTTGATAGTAGATAACTTGATTCCTTCAATAAGATCTTTTCCTCTGATTCCGCAGTTGTCTGAGGGATTGCACGCACTTTCATAGGTTTAACACTAACCTGTTATATCAATGTATATTTTTATCGGGATTCCATCCGTCTATCATTGGAGCGAAAAATAAAATATATATCCGGTGTGTGACTCTGCTTGTACGGCTTAAAATGTCTCGTCGCGACTTTTATTAAGTAAAATTGTTATGAGTAGTGCAGTGAGTTTCAGATTTGAAATCTAAATGTCTATAGTTCCGACGGAAATATGGGACTTATAGATTCAGGAAGTTCAATTTCAAGGAAACCATCTTTGATGTTACACCATCTTTTACGTTCAGAATTTTTTTGGTTCTATCAAATGCAGTTAATTCCTTTTCAAGGAATCTATTGTAGAGATGGTGAAAGGAGAAGAGACGCTTAAGCTGAGATTGTACAACATGAAGTAGCGCAAGTCTGAGACTTAGTAAGCGGAGAAAGACCTAAGGAACAATACATTAGAGTGTTCAACGAACAATCACGAATAATATGTACACAAGAAGAGTGTCAAAGAATAGAAAGATAGGAGTAGAAATCTGATACCCAATTCAATTGGAATATACCATCACAACACATACTTTTTGAGCATGAAGCAGTGTCATATGTTTCAAGTTGAATTCATTGGATATCAAAGCTTGATAGATCGGAATCTCGTAGTCGTGACATACAGTCACAATAGCTCCCAAGTCACCTTCGTGAAGTCCTAACATTAGAAGACCCGCGGCCCTCAAAACTTGAAAAGATTGTTGTCGAACAACATGGTATTCATCGGTCCATTTTTAAATCAGCGAAGCAAGAGCCATTTCTACTTTTACATCTCAATGACTCACAGCGCTATGTACTGAAATCCGCAAATCAGGGTGCGGTATGTTCACAATATGCTGTTCATCGGACCTTTGTTCAATCAACGAAGCAACAACCATTTTCACTTTTAAAAGTAATACACTCACAGCGCTTTTCACTGAAATACGCAAATCAGGATGCAGTATTTTCACAACATGCTATTCATCGGACCTTTGTTCAATCAACGAAGCAACAGCCAATTCTTCTTTTACATGCAATCCACGCGCAGCGCTATGTATTGAAATCCGCAAGTCATGGTTCAATAAATTCACAAGTCATGTTCGAGAGACGAAGGAGTACCAAGATTGCAGAGCAATCACGGCTAGAATCAAGACGCTCCACTGTTGAAGATGTTCAACTGTTTCCAAAAAAACTCTTTCTTGTGTTTCGTGCCAAATGTTCACATCTTGCGCCATACTCGACCACATCAGTTACGATGACAAGCAAACAAACAACAACAATCAAACAAAAAACATCTTGCACTTGCTTGTGCTCAAACAGTAGAACTTTGGCTACGACCTCCTCACATAATGATAGCATTTCAGTTAATGTTTCGGAGAAGAGCAACTTAACTTGATTCCACCTTTTGTCAGGACAAATGGTCTCCAGTTGGTCCAACTGCAAAGAAGTATAGCAGTTCCAAATCAGTTCCATAAAATGTCCAAGGAAAATCCTAATTGCATCATACAAGGCAGCATCAAGCTGGAATCAGATTTTGAAGCAGAGCAGGTTTATACCTACATCTAAATATGAACCATTTTACTATGTAATGTCCTAAGAAAAAATTCCCGTAAGAGCTTATGATCGTGAATGTAAGTATGGATCTTCCATTCTGCAAGTTTTCTTGGGCTTAGACTGCATTCCTCAGGATCTGCACAACATCCATATCCAAGTCTGGATGGGCTGCTGCATCTAGAGCTCCGTAGCTCCGCAGCATATACAAGTGAGAGCATAAAACTTTCATGCGAGACACCACTTGGCCAATGAGACTATAATGCTTTCATCCTCATGAATGGGTGGAAATCAAACTTCAAAAGTACCAAGCATACAACACACAACAACAAGATGGCTAATGCAAAAGTGCCAAAAGCAAACAATACTCCCAATTAAGAAGCTTAATTAATTCCCAGTTTAATGAAGAACTCAGATAGGAAAATCATCAGCAGTGAACTGTAGAATTCTCCTAAACCAATTGAATCAACAACAGTAAGTCAAACATAAACATGAAGATTTCTACCCACAATCTATGTGTCACTATCCTTACAATTTACCTTGCAAAGTGCAGCAAATGCAACTGTTGCACTCTATGCTACTTGCGGTATAATCTTCTCGCACCTTGTGCGGAATATTTACATCATGAACTTCGATTTGTTAACTTGAAGAAAATAGTAATCAAACAACTAAGAACTTTGTCCTTAGTTATGGCATACATCTATGTGCAGAAAGTTCAAAGTGCTATTGTGATTCTTCAATAACTCCAAACTTCTCTCATTGAACAAGGTTTTAGATTTACACTATCCATTTTGCATGATAAAGTAAAGATGTAAGTCAAATTGGGGATGAAGGAAATCAAAGTGTCTAAAATGAGATACTTCACTGCTTTGTGTAGATTTTCTTCAGATCTAAGGTATAACACTCATCCTCATTGTAGGGACTTGAATCCTCAAACCAACAAAAATCATAATTCATACACAATAATGAACACAAGAATTTGTTTACGAGGTTCGACTCAAAAGTCTAGTTCCCGTGTGAACTCCTCAATGAAGCTAGTTCGAGCATATAACCAAGATCAATTTTCTAGTACTTTTACTTCTCACCATCTTTACAAAATTTCAATCGGGTGAAAAACACACACAAAGAAAATCACTTTTGTTTTCCAAGCAAGATAAAAATTTCATCACAAATGATTGTCTCCCTCTCAATGTGTTTCCTAATTCTCACCATCGACTTTTCTTGAAATTCCCTAATTGTAATGAATCCTTTAATCCCCTAACTAACTTTAAATCACTATGAGTTATAATGGAAAAATATCATAATGAATCTATACAGCCCATAGGATATTGACACAGCAGCAAATTGATTACTAAAAAATAAAAAAAACGACAAAAAACTGTAAATAAATACTACATATAACTCAAGTTGATATCTCACACTCATGAATAACAGACACAGTGTAAAGCCAACAATATATGTAGAAGCATAAAGATTGAAGAGCATAGTCAAAGTCTACATATTACTTCACAAGAACCAAATTAATTGTCTTGCAATACTAAAACCACATAAGTAATGACCTTTAAGGTACTTAAAAGTCATTACTTAGCTAATTAGTGTTACTTGCTAGGATTTGATATGTATCTGCTAAGAACACCAATGGCATGAGCAATATCAGCTCTTGAACACGTCATAGTGTACATGATTGAGCTACTCCATTTGAATATGAAACATCTTTCATGGTTTGCTTTGCTGATGCTGAAACAAGACATTGACTTGCAAAAAGTCTGAAATCATTTGCCAAAGTTTAGATTCAGGCTTTGCATTTCTCATGATAAATTTGTCAACTAGCTTCTACAAATAGACATGTTGTGACAATACCAATGAATCATAATACTCTCTCTAATGATGCTGATTCTAAGGACTATCGTAGAATCATCTAAATCTTTCATATCAAACTCTTTGCTCAAAATCTTCTTGAATTCAAAGGTATTTGAAGTTGAGCGGTTGATCAATAACATATCGTCTATATACAAGCAGATATAGATAGTTTTCAATACTTCATTTTCTTTGAACTACAAGCATGCGTCATAGAAACTCTTGTTGTATACTTGTTCAAGCATGAATGTATTGGAACGTTTCAACACATTCATGCTTGAAAAGCTTGTATCATTGACTAGATGACTGATTCAAACTATACAGCAATTTTTTAAGTAGACACATCATGTCTTTGCCTTTATGCACTTTGTATCTTGGTGACTACTCAATGTAAATCTCTTCTTCAAAGTTTTCGTGAAGAAATGCTATTTTCACATCAATTTGCTGTAATTTCAAGTTATGCTGGATCACTATGCTCTTGTACTTCAACACATGTGAGAAATGTCATTATAGTCAACTATCTCAACCTGTGTGAAGCCTTTTGCCACTAGCTTGGCCTTGAATCAAAACTTGTCAAAACTGATCACGACTTCTTTGAAAATTTAAAATCATCGTCACATCACTAGATTTTGATACTTGGATCTTGCAACCATGATCCAAGTTTTCTTCCAGTAAAGTGACATTATTTCAACCCTCATGGCTTCCTTAGATTTTTTTATAAGTTTGATCTAGCAACAACATTTTGATAGTAGAGGTACTCCTTGATATAAATCTCCAAGGCTGATGTGAACGCATAGGCAAGGATCAAAGAGTATGAGGAGAAGCCATATATCTATGTAAGCCTTGACAATCACTTTTCTTTGTTTCTAGTCAGAAAATAGTCATGTTGTTGTTGAAATTGCTCTTAGTTGTTTTGCCTTGCATTTGACAAGTTTGATCACTTGGTTTAGAGACATGATGTAGGACTTGTGTGTCATGAACTTCATAGTCACTTGAGGTGCTTTGGCTTTGGATTAGTGGAGTAGTGACATGAACAGCTGGCTCTACCTGAATAATATTCTCTAAGGTTTCTGCAAGTTTAATGACATTCACATCACTAGGACTTGGGTGAGTTCATGATTGACAAGTAATAACAGTCTCATTAAATATCACGTCACTACTATTGATAATTTTGAAACCGTTAGCTTCCATTGCCCACAGTCGATAGCCTT